TTAAAAATTTATTTTTGGACTGTCCTCAGTCGTCTCCTATGCGGTTAAAATCATGTCCATAGAATCACCGACGAAACCTAGAATGAGGAAACAGCTGCATGATGAAATTTAATTTAATTTAACTTTGATGTTCTTTCTCTAAATTTGTACCAAATTGTGCTATTCATTTGTGTGTCTTTTTTAATGTTCAAAGACCAGGTGATATTCAAGTAAATCATTGACTAATTCACATCGACCCCATGACATATTGCTCTCTAGGCAGGACATACAAATGACAACTGTTGCCTCGTTGAATAATCATAAAAGGTGACTAAATTTGAGATTTTGTCTCTTCTCCTCTCTTTTAACCTATGTTGTTTTTTATGTTGCCTCTGAAATCGACTCACTTTTGGTCTTTAATCGAGTAAGGCTTTGGGTTATGTCCCCTGGCCGAGACATACTGGTAGTATTTACAAAGATGGTTACTACTTCAGACTTAATACTCAGACTGGTTAAAGCGACTATAATGTTAAAAAAACACTACGACAAAACGATATAAAACGTTCTGTTTTCCAATAGTATGTTACAAAACTAAGACTTTCTGTTAATTACTAAAATTAAAAGTCACTTCAACCATTTTGATTGATATCTAAAAAATAAAAAATGTAAACAGTGCGGTCTTGATCTAATTCATACATTACCGCTCGTAACTCTGAGGCTGCGCATGCGTATAAGCCTAGAAAGAACCAATGATACAATGTAAATCACTAGCTATCGGTCCCTCTCTATATGTATTTATAATAGATATAAATGAAGTTGTTTATTAAATCATATTTACTTTTTATAGAACATAGTAACACCTTTTATTGTAGACTAAATTCAACATGGAAATTAATGAACAGGTGAGTTATACGTGTCAATTTTGATACAGACTAAACTTATGTTTGACAAGACAAACAGGCCTAGGAGTAGGTAGCGTTTTTCGTATATGTTAGCTGATCATGAGAAGCGAGGAACCTGTGCACTCAGCATGTGTAACCATGGATTTAGATATAGATTTCGTTCGTGACGTAACTAATAAAAGCTGGGGTCAATATGGTATAGTCAATATGGTATATGTTGTGACAAATATATTTAATGCGCTAATTCGCCTACGTGTCATATAAAGTTGAGGTAAACAGTGCGATGATGGGGGCGACGGTCAACAGTCTCTCATGACGGGAGTGGCCGGTAGGATGTTGGGGTCAAATACAGAGCTGCAACAAAGCGGTCACCATATACAACACTATCATTACGATATTGGAGGCTTGATTGCACAAGCTAAACGTTGTCAAATATAGAACTGCAACAAAACGAGTCACATTGTCATTTATTGCAATAACAGAATACCAATACAATGGTACAGTTTTAGATGTCAAACTTAACATGTTCTCTGTGATCAACAACAGATTTGCAATGGTAGATTTTTGACCCCTTTGGCCTTCCATATAAAGGCTATACGGATCAAGTGGCGTTAACCTTATCACACTCTAACATACTGTATTCCTCAACTTGTTATAATCACAGATTTTTTATTTGAAAGATGTCTACGATAGCAAGTTCATTTGGTTAAACTACACCTATATTTCACCTCTAACCCATGTTACACCCACAGCTGTTTGGTGTTTACCATTTGCACGTGATTCATCTGTTTAAGTACAGTGTGAGTGACACTCATTGATTGACAGGGAAATGGAAAACAATCGTCACACATGACCACATTTTAATTTTTTAATTGGTCCATCCCAAGTCAGTACGTCATCGATATATCAAAAAATGATATCTGTATAATAAAATCTGGGACACGAGAATTGATCAAAGTCACAATTTTAACCAAAATCCACAATGTAAAACAGAGAAGGTTCCTCAACATCCGGGAACATTTATCTTGTTTATGTAGTCTACACATCATTGAACTGCTTCGACCTTCATGTCCTCATTCTATGTTCACCACACAGGAAAGATTTCTGTCGATACTGTCAGGCATCCATCCAGGAAGATTTGAATTTCATTTGAATATTTGAAACGAATGGAGTGTTAGTTCTAATTACTTTTCCACATGCAGATCTGAACAGGTGTTTAAATATGTCATAAATTCTAGCTCGATACTTTTCACAAATCACAGACTGCATAAAACGCCCACCATTGTTTGATATCTAAGTGTTCATTAAAATTCGATCCTTTCCCTTCCATCATGTTTTTAAGTTTAATGATTATATGTTCATTAAAATCGGATTTCCCCCTCCTTTCCTCCGTTTTTTTCTATTTCATATATCAAATTTGAAAATTCCACTTCAGAAATGGCGATGATTATCTTAAACTGACAAATCCAATGATGATCACCTCTTGGCTGTTCGGATTTCTTTTTAAATCGGTCCAAAAATTAGGACACCACAACTAGGGATCACGAGGAACCTGCATAGAAATTTGACATAGATCTATCCAGTACTTCTCAAGAAATAGTGGTAACAAATTTCATTGTCAAAATCAAAGATGGCTGCCATTCTGCCATATTGTTTTTTTTAGATCAATCTAAATGTATCCTTTTATTTATCTATTTATTTCTCATATTTCATTTCTTAATTAATGTGTCATATTTCAAATTAATTTGAACATCCTATACATTTTCTATCATTTTTATGAGATTGCTTAATATGTACATACCCATGGCAATTCAATGTGATTATAACCAATTGTTATAAATGTAGTTCTGTTTTGTAACCAAATCATAATTACCTCCAGGAAGCACTGTTTAGAGATGCATTCTAAAATTTGATTCATTTTAATAAAACATTTATAAATGACAAATGATCATTTAGCATGCTAAACAGAGGTTTCAAGGGAAAAAGGCCAAGTGTGAAGCTGTTAATTCCAAATAACAAAAAATAAATAAACAGTAGAGGTTTGTTATAAATTTGTTTTCAACATGACACATCATACAAGTGCCAATATTGTAATTGTATTGAAACATGACAGGCAAAAAGCAAATGCAAAGACGATTGTGAATTCAAATGAATGTGTTATACGATTTGGCTTGTAGTGTTAGCTTCTATTCATATCTTCATTTGGTATTGTGAAATATTTTCTTCGTCTAGGTATGTATGTACTAAAACATAACAGGGTCAGGTGAGATAAAAACACTAGATTATATATGGGATTTAAGTACACTTTGCATAAATTAAGGTGACAGTCATATGGAAATAAAAAAATTGTAGTGTGACCTTTAACCTCTCATATCATTAGATAGAATTTACCACCACCATTCAGGAAGAGCTGTGCATCTGAATATTTTTTGAATGTTCTGATTTAGACCAGGTGGCCAGGTGAGGAAATATGAACACACATTGTGACAAATTGTTTTATTTCTGAAGGAAATTAGTCAGACACTGTAATTCAGGTTGTTGCATTTATGCTCTATTCTTGACAAAATTAATCCAATATCCTTATGGAATAGAAGGTTGCACTTCTGCATACATCAGACTCCTTTGTGTTATTAGTATGCGATTCTATGACAACGGCTGTAGCAACATCACCCAAACAGTATCCTTAAGATACCAGGTGTTTGTAGCTCCTAGTAATGTCATGAGATTACAGGGAGCAATGTTAACAAGCACTGGTCTTGTGAAGTAGTGATAGCTATCTGTATCTCACAGATTCCAGGCTGGCTACGTGGAAGCCTTTTCATTCCGCTGAACATTCTATAAATGGTACAATGCACAATTAAGGGCCAAGTAAATCCAGTATGCATCATGAAATGGTGATAAGAGTTTTTTAAAAGGTCTATATTCAGTTATCTTACACTTACCTTTTATCTTTACTGAATTAAATACCTTAATCTATGATTTATTCTTTAAGGGAAATTTACAGTCTTGAAGACAACAGATGCCAAAAACATAAAAAGACAAGAGATCCCAGCAGGATCTTGGCACTCACCATTGTTTCATCTTTTAATTGTTCTTTAAAAGCTTAATCTTTTCCTTCCTTTCCCCATTTTTTTGGCTCTGAACGATAGCGATAATCTCTAACAACCAAATCAGATATGGTCTCCTGGAAGCCATTTTATTTTTCTAATTAGTTCCAAAATAAATCAGGCAAAACTAGGGACCAAGGGGAACCTACATTTGGAATTTGAGAGAGATCAATCCAGTTCCTCTCAAGAAATAGCCATATCAAACTTAACAAGGGGAAATAAAAGATGGCCGCCTGACAGCTATTTTATGTTTCTGATCAGTCCCAAAATACCGGCAGGCACAACTAGTGGCCAAAGGAAACCTATCTATGAAATTTCAGACAGATCCGTCTGTTGGGACAGATGTAAGCGCGCCAGGGGTCTTATTGTGGGAGGAAACAGGAGTACCTTGGGAAAAACCACGTGGTTGGGCAGGTGACCCTGGGAATCCAACCCTGGATGGTTAGGTGAAAGCGAGTGCAACACCACTGCACCACCTGACAACCCAAGTTTTTTTGCTTCATCGATGATACCTGCGATGTAAATCTTGGTCAGTCCAAGTGAGTAATGTCAGGTTCTCAAAAGAACGAGGTAAACAACAAGAGACCCAGCAAATCTGACCCCTGTGACCTTGAATATAAGTCAAGTTCGTTTCTTTCAGCAAACTTTGTGGGGCTTCATATTAGGAACATATCAGCCAAATATTGTGCTTCTCGGCTTTTGACTTTTTAAGTTCATGAGAAGAAATCTGACCCTTGTGACCATGAGTGTAAGTCAAGTTCGTTTCTTTCAGCAAACTTTGTTGGGCTTCATAGTAGGAATAACCAGCCAAATATCAAAACATTTGGTTATTGAGAAGAAGTTGTTTAAAGAAAAAAGTTGACGCTGGAGGATGCAGAATGGATGGAAGACAGATGACGCACCACAACCTTTGGGCAAGGGGAGGTAATAAATTCACCAGACAAACTAACGAGCAACAATCAGGTCAGGATTCACCTGATAATATAATATAGGAAAAGACAACAAGAATGTATTTACAACCGTCCTTTCTTTATTGGCAGGGATAAGGTGGTATCAATGATAATCCTGTATATTGAGGGTGGAAATCAAACCACTCGACCAGTTCTTTTAACATCATAGATGTACTGTATAAAACAATACCAGAAGTGCTGTATATTTGAAAAGAAGATATAATTTCACAAAGTTTGCTTATAAGCAAAACAACTGAACTGTAATATTTTCTTTTTTTAAAGAAATATCTGCTGTTGTTTACTGTGAGAAAACGTGTTGTATACCTAAAAACACTTTGTTGTTGAATCAAGCATATATTTATAAATTTTCTTATGAAAAGCATTGCGTTTCGTCATTAACACACTCTGAGGAAAAGTTGATCAAGCATGGGTATGTATATACAACAAAGCTTCACTTCTGTCACCAGTCACAGTATCGTGACCAGTTGACATGTTTCATCAAATGTTCTTCAGTACTCCAAACAACTGAACCATAACTGAATATCATTTCCAGAATAACATTTATCACATGTTCCACAGATAAAAACCCTCGACCCAGTCAAACATCATTCATATAATGTCACAATCAGTTCGTGGAAAAAACATTTCAATGTTCCAAAGAACAGTTACTTACAAACAAATATGTCAGAACCTGTAGTTTTTCAAAGTCTTAATTCTGCATCAATAGTAGTGTTCATGTAATTTTTCCAGGCTAGAAATTTATTCCTGAAGATAATAAATATTTCAGTCCGATAAATCAAGAGTTTCGAGGTCTTCCTCCACCAGATCCAGGTCCTCTCCATCAAACAAATCCTCATCAATTTCTATCGTATCTCCGTTTACTGTCGCCGCCAACGCTGCTGCTATCACTTCGTCTGTTTCTGATTGGTTATTTTTCGGGGGTAATGCTCCTGCTAAGTCCAATTTATCTTCCTCATTTTCTGTAAACGTACCATAAATATTATCAGTTAACAATTTCAGTCAGGGTATCATAAGTAGGATTAAACAACCATTTCTGTCAGGGTATCATAAACATGATCAAACAGACAACATTTTCTGTCAGGGTACCATAAACATGATCAAGCAGACAACATTTTCTGTCAGGGTATCATAAACATGATCAAACAGACAACATTTTCTGTCAGGGTACCATAAACATGATCAAGCAGACAACATTTTCTGTCAGGGTATCGTAAACATGATCAAACAGACAACATTTTCTGTCAGGGTATCACAAATACGATCAAACAGACAACATTTCTGTCCAGGTATCGTAAACATGATCAAACAGACAACATTTTCAGTCAGGGTATCACAAATACGATCAAACAGACAACATTTCTGTCCAGGTATCGTAAACATGATCAAACAGTCAACATTTTCTGTCAGGGTATCGTAAACATGATTGAACACTCAACATTTTCTGACTTTCTGTAAACGTACCATAAATATTATCAGTGAACAATTTCAGTCAGGGTATCATAAGTAGGATTAAACAACATTTTCTGTCAGGATATCGTAAACATGATCAAACAGACAACATTTTCTGTCAGGGTATCGAAAACATGATCAAACAGACAACATTTTCTGTCAGGGTACCATAAACATGATCAAACAATCAACATTTTCTGTCAGGGTATCGTAAACATGATCAAACAATCAACATTTTCTGTCAGGGTATCGTAAACATGATCAAACAGACAACATTTCTGTCAGGGTATCGTAAACATGATCAAACAGACAACATTTCTGTCAGGGTATCGTAAACATGATTGAACACTCAACATTTTCTGACTTAGTTCTGTAAATATAAAAATTCAACACTTTCCCATTTAATACTTTATCACTTCAAGTTTATCTAATTTCATAGTCAAACATACATTCCATTATTATCAATTCTACAGAGATATATTGTCATCAAAAGAATCATGAGAATATCCCATACTGTAAACATAAACACTATTCACACCAGGGATATATTAAATATGATTTTGATAACTGCAGTTTCTGCATGCCTTTAATATTATTGTGAATTTGTGAATTTATTATTGTGCTAAATATTTTCAAAATTGATATTGTGGTTTGATTGCAATATTATAATTAAATTTACAGTATGCTTCTGATAAGTACAATTTAAGTCAACAGTATATCTTCTAAGAAAGAGAAACTCCAAACTAAGATGCCACCTAAAGCAATTTACTCTTATATTTCTGTATAATCTTAAATGTAATTATTCAAATGATGATACCCAATAATATAAGTCAGTGACAAGAGGTCCAAGGGATTTAATGGTAACCTGCGTTATAATGTTTCTTGTAACATGTCATAGAAATGATTTCGTTAATGAAAGTAAGATAAGTTGAACTACATTGTACACATAATACAAATGTAAACTGTGCATAACTTTAACTGCTATCCCATGTGAAGGCTTCTAAACAAGTTTGAATAAAAGGAAATTACACTCAACAAGAGGCCCATGGGCCTTAACGGTCATCTGACAAAAAGCAAGCCAAACCTAGAAAGTGGTTGAGGTCATTCATTTGAACAAACTTGGAAGCCTCTCCTCCAAGCATCTTACAGGCCCAATATCAGCACTCATGGACATTTGCTTGTTGAGAAGATATTTGTATATTTTAACATATTTGACCCCTGTGACCTTGAAAGTGGGTTGAGGTCATTCATTTGAATAAACTTGGTAGCCTTTCCTCCCAGCATGCTACAGACCCAATATCGGCACTCATAGACTTTTGCTTATTGAGATGAAGTCCTTTGTATATTTTAACATATTTGACCCCTGTGACCTTGAAAGTGGGCCAAGGTCATTCATTTGAACAAACTTTGTAGGGCTCCATGCCAGCATGCTATGGGCCAAGTATTAGCCCCCTAGGCCTTCTAGTATTTGAGAAGAAGTTATTTAAAGATTTTGACATATTTGACCCCTGCGACCTTGAAAGTTGTTCAAGGTCATTCATTTAAATAAACTTGGTAGCCTTTCCTCCCAGCATGCTACAGACCCAATATCGGCACTCATAGACTTTTGCTTATTGAGATGAAGTCCTTTGTATATTTTAACATATTTGACCCCTGTGACCTTGAAAGTGGGCCAAGGTCATTCATTTGAACAAACTTTGTAGGGCTCCATGCCAGCATGCTATGGGCCAAGTATTAGCCCCCTAGGCCTTCTAGTATTTGAGAAGAAGTTATTTAAAGATTTTGACATATTTGACCCCTGTGACCTTGAAAGTTGTTCAAGGTCATTCATTTAAACAAACTTGATAGCCCTTCATCCCAGCATGCCACAGGCACAATATCAGCAATCTGAGCCTTTTGGTTATTGAGAAGAAGTTGTTTAAAGATTTTAACATATTTGACCCCTGTGACCTTTAAAGTGGGCCAAGGTCATTCATTTGAACAAACTTTGTAGGGCTCCATGCCAGCATGCTATGGGCCAAGTATTAACCCCCTAGGCCTTCTAGTATTTGAGAAGAAGTTATTTAAAGATTTTGACATATTTGACCCCTGCGACCTTGAAAGTTGTTCAAGGTCATTCATTTAAATAAGCTTGGTAGCCTTTCCTCCCAGCATGCTACAGACCCAATATCGGCACTCATAGACTTTTGCTTATTGAGATGAAGTCCTTTGTATATTTTAACATATTTGACCCCTGTGACCTTGAAAGTGGGCCAAGGTCATTCATTTGAACAAACTTTGTATAAGCATGCTATGGGCCAAGTATTAGCCCCCTAGGCCTTCTAGTATTTGAGAAGAAGTTATTTAAAGATTTTGAAATATTTGACCCCTGTGACCTTGAAAGTTGTTCAAGGTCATTCATTTAAACAAACTTGATAGCCCTTCATCCCAGCATGCCACAGGCACAATATCAGCAATCTGAGCCTTTTGGTTATTGAGAAGAAGTTGTTTAAAGATTTTAACATATTTGACCCCTGTGACCTTTAAAGTGGGTCAAGGTCATTCATTTGAACAAACTTGGTAGTCCTTCATCCCAGCATGTCACAGGCCCAATATCTACACTCTGAGCCTTTTGGTTAATGAGAAGAAGTTGTTTAAAGATTTTAACATATTTGACCCCTGTGACCTTTAAAGTGGGTCAAGGTCATTCATTTGAACAAACTTGGTAGAGCTCCATGCCAGTATCCTCTGTGCCAAGTATTAGCCCCCTAGACCTTCTAATTTGAGAAGAAGTCGTTTGAATGAAAAGTTTACGGACGGCGCACGGCGCACGACGCACGGCGCACGGCGGACGACGACGGACGAAGCATGATGACTATAGGTCATCGCACCCTTCGGGTCAGATGACCTAAAAATGTAATTTTCCTTTATAAATCCTCCCATCCATTAACAGTATTTAATAGATTCTATCACATCTGCATATTGAAAACATCTTTGAAATTTCAGTCAAATTGACCCATCATCCCCTGGGCGTAAGCTGAGGTCAATATATGCATTCCATCAAAATATCATACTAACACTTCTAACCAAATTTGAACTATTTTTAAAAGAAAATAAACAAATGATGTTCAAATATGTAATTTTCCAGTATACACTATAGTAAAGTATACCCCCTCCCCACGGGGAAATGGGAGACCCCGGGGTCATGAAATTTACAGTTTTGGTAAAGCATTCTAAAACACTTCCATCCATGAAGAGTATTTGGTTCTACTTTATCTAAGTATTGAGATGAAGATTATTTAAGCTTTAATCAACTTGAACCATTTTGATCTCTCCCTCAATCCCCTGGTGGTTGGGGACCATATAATATAAAAGTTTGGTACACCTTTTGTAAAATTTCATTGAAATCAGTTAAGGAGTTTTCCAGAAGGAGTAAACAATGTTTAAGTTTATGAAACATGGCACATGACAAAATGCGATCAGGATAAGTCACCCAGAGGTTTTGTCTGCAGTGATTTAAACAGGAAATGCTGATAATTATGCCTCATCACATACCTTCCTCATACGAGATTAAAAATCTCATCAAATTATCATTAACTTCCATAAACAATTTCTGAAAAGTAAGAAACATAACACCAAATTATCCTGAAAATATACAACTTGACTCACCATTGTCTTTGGAGGCTGCTCCTTGTGATGAATCGCCAGCGCCACTTGTCGCACCAACTCTCTGAGACGTTGTCGACACTGTACCAGTACCGTCTACCTTTTGTGCAAGTCCCGCCAAAGATTCAAGGTTCAATTCCACCACTTTCTCTTGTTCAACCTTAAAATCAGGCAAACAGCAAAATCATGTTCTGTTAAGCCAGACATATAAGAAATCTTACAAATTCCGCAGAAAGAGAATCCATTTGAGAAATCTACCAGTCTGCAGTCAGTTTTATCGTAAATGTTATTTCATCAATATCCCTAAAAATTCACATTTTATCATTTATGAATGTAAATATTAGGTGTCGGAGATGAATCAAGAATTTTAAATGTTGAAATCTTTGGAATTCTTCACCCCACCCCAAGACTTACATCATCAGGGTCTACTTCTCTCTCTAACACTCCTTCTTGGGCCTCATCATCATCCATTACAGCAAAGTCAGGATTAAATTCAAACATTTCTCTGCCACTGATCTGCAAAAGTACAAATTCATATAAATTACACCAAATGAACCAGAACAAGTAGTGAGAACAAATTAAAACCAATAAATATTACTGTAGTAATTATTACTTTAACAATGCAAAAGATAATTTAAGTATACATACTAAATAGAAACAAGCTAATTAAAGGCCCCATTGTTAAACTGCCTCACCAAAGTAAACAAATACACTAGATATGATGTTTCAGTGACTCGTTGATGAGATCAAGGTCAAAATGAAGGTCTGAGCGACCTACTTTTCATACGTAACCCATTGACTCACCAAGGTGAACCCAAATTCAAAGTATTAATTTCAACCCATATCCCAAATATGATACTCCCATGATAAGTACTGCAGGAAATTATTGATGTAGATCAGAGGTCAAAATGTAGGCCACAATGTCCTACTTTTGATATTTGACACACTGTTTCACCCTGATGAATCCATATCCCAAGCATGAAGTTCCAGTGATTAGTTTAATATAGGTCAAAGGTCAAAAAAAAGGTCAGAACAACATACTTTTCACATGCAACATATTCTTTCCCAAGACAAATCCATATACAAAGTATAAAGTTCCCCTGATTAGCAGTGTAGAAGATAGCATCCAGACAATCTTACTTTGACACAGGTCAAAGGTCAAAATATATGTCAAAGTGACCTATCATTGATATGGACACACCATCTCACCAAGGTGAACTTATATCATGATTTATATTACAGAAGGTTGGGAACATACCAAATAGCAATAGGATAGTCACAACACAATACTATAGTCCCCTACTTTTCCAAATAGGACAGAATTGTGGTTAAAAATTGGAAATTATGAAAGGATACAGAGAGTATAAAGAAGGCAAACTAGAAAATGTTTGTGAGACATAAATGCCCTCGCTCGCATGTTTTAGTATCGTTGTTGTTTGATGAATTTGCAGAAATAGTCAAATGTAACCTTTGACCCTTTAACCTTGATTAATGACAAATCATTAAGGGCAGAACTACAAGTTACTCTACGGTAAAAATCTGCTGAAAATGTTCTGAAAACATGACAATGATTCGAAACAGGATGGGATGGAAAGGTTGGGATAGACAGACATACAAGACCTAGGTCACAGCATAACATTATTTGCCTTCCTGACTCCCAAATGATATGATGTGGGTGTTATAAAAAGTTTAGCCTGTACAACAAGTTCTAAACTTACCCCAGATGTTTTACCAGATTTGAAATCTGATTTCTTCTTATCCATCTTTTTCTTATCAGCAGCAATCCTTTCCTTCCGCTAAAATTTCAAAATGTACAAATGTACCACTAATCTAAACTTTTAGGTCTATGATACAGTTTACTATTAAATTCAGTGTAATACGTGTATGTGCACACTATTATCATGTAATTTGTATCCACTTGAGTTGTAACATGATATCTGATTGGCCAATGAAAATAACTTGCGACAGCACGACTACGACAGTTCATAATCAAATGTTTCCTTTCCATGTCTGGCGCTGATGACAATTTGTCAGTTGTGATTATTATGGTATTATTAATGATATCTTGCAACAAATTAGAAAACCCAGTGAGATTATCCTCTAATTATACACAATATTTTATTAGGTGGTCAAACAAGCAATGACAATATAAAACAAAATGAGAATAACTGAGAAACACATGACTCTACTTAAGCTTTGATGGAAATTATACACAAATTAGTAAAACTATTCATGATTTTTTTTTTATCAAAATATTCAGATAACAAACCTTCCTTTCTTTCCATGCCAAAAATGTCTCCAATGTAACTCGGGTTGTGTTGTGTCCGAGCGCCGACCTCTGCAAAAACAAAATTACATTTAATCTGCTTTTATATACTAAGTACTAAAATTGTTCTTACAAATAGCTATGCCTTTGTTTGAAAGGATAAATAGACCAGAAATTTATTCTTTTAAAGTACTTAACAGAGACATTTACGGTAGTGAAGTATTTTCATTTTTTTTTTTCTGTGTAAAATATTTTCAATTCCTGCAAAGATTATTTTCAAATGTTCACGGCTTTTTTACAAAGCTTGAAACAAACTGGTTGCATTTTTCACAAATTTCTTGAATATCGAATAGATTTTGGTTTTCTTTGTTAAAACATTGCAAAACAATGAAAATAAGAACTCTTGCAAAATAAAAACCCAACAAAATCTTCCACCTTCCTTTAAAGGAATCCTTCCTTTTGATGAATTACTACATTCTTCTAACTTTACAAACCAGACAAGGATTTCAAAATAAGAACAATGTGATTCTGTGATAACATTTTATTTTGACAACGAGAAAGCCAATGCAAACATTTGTTTCTAACAATCTTTGTCAATAGAAATGCTTGTTTAAAACAAAATTGAATCACATTAATTTTTACAACACAACAAACCTCTTTCTCTATAAGTTCCTCTATTGAAATTTTTTCTTCATTCTCTTCCATTTTCTTCTTGTCCCTCTTCAACACGAACCCTGGATACAACGTGTAAAATAGGTAACTAGTGTGTTAATCTGCCTCTCACAATCAGAATATCATGTCACAGCCTCTCACAATCAGACTATCACGTCACAGCCTCTCACAATCAGACTATCACGTCACAGCCTCTCACAATCAGACTATCACGTCACAGCCTCTCACAATTAGACTATCATGTCACAGCCTCTCACAATCAGACTATCATGTGACTGCCTCTCACAATCAGACTATCACGTCACAGCCTCTCACAATCAGACTATCATGTGACTGCCTCTCACAATCAGACTATCACGTCACAGCCTCTCACAATCAGACTATCACGTCACAGCCTCTCACAATCAGACTATCATGTGACTGCCTCTCACAATCAGACTATCACGTCACAGCCTCTCACAATTAGACTCTCACGTCACAGCCTCTCACAATCAGACTATCATGTGACTGCCTCTCACAATCAGACTATCACGTCACAGCCTCTCACAATCAGACTATCACGTCACAGCCTCTCACAATCAGACTATCATGTGACTGCCTCTCACAATCAGACTATCACGTCACAGCCTCTCACAATCAGACTATCACGTCACAGCCTCTCACAATCAGACTATCATGTGACTGCCTCTCACAATCAGACTATCACGTCACAGCCTCTCACAATTAGACTATCACGTCACAGCCTCTCACAATCAGACTATCATGTGACTGCCTCTCACAATCAGACTATCACGTCACAGCCTCTCACAATCAGACTATCACGTCACAGCCTCTCACAATCAGACTATCATGTGACTGCCTCTCACAATCAGACTATCACGTCACAGCCTCTCACAATTAGACTATCACGTCACAGCCTCTCACAATCAGAATATCATGTCACAGCCTCTCACAATCAGACTATCACGTCACAGCCTCTCACAATTAGACTATCACGTCACAGCCTCTCACAATCAGACTATCATGTGACTGCCTCTCACAATCAGACTATCACGTCACAGCCTCTCACAATCAGACTATCACGTCACAGCCTCTCACAATCAGACTATCATGTCACAGCCTCTCACAATCACACTATCATGTGACTGTCTCTCACAATCAGACTATCATGTGACTGCCTCTCACAATCAGACTAACACATCACTGCCTCTCACAATCAGAATAAGACATCACTGTCTCTCACAATCAGAATATCATGTGACTGTCTCTCACAATCAAACTATCATGTGACTGCCTCTCACAATCAGACTATCATGTGACTGCCTCTCACAACCACACTATCACATCACTGTCTCTCACAATCAGACTATCAGTCTAATTCATAACCATTACCATATATTACTTAAATTGTTAGGTCTATCGACTTATGAACAGCCAGTTATTTTGTTTTGGGGTCTTCTGAAAGTAGCTGGTTGCTATCTCAATGGACAACATATGAAAGGCCCATCAAATGCCATCCTAAGCATTTCGAGTTAAGTGTTTTGTCTGAGGAAACAATCACATCAACACAAAACTGCCTCAGGAAGAGACATCAAACTAGGCACCTCATATTTCTACCTGAGGCTACCTAGGCAAACACTCAAATTGAATGAGCTATTACAGACCCCATGAATTGTACTAACAAGGAAACATGTTTAAAATGTAACTGTACCTGTGACCATTCTCTCTTATCTATTTTGTTACAGAGATAGTAGTTTGGTGATAAATAATAGGCAAAATAAAATGTATCCATTAAAAGTAATTGTGATGAACAATATTCAAACGTTTAAATTCAGCCCTACCTGGGGGTAAACAATGTCGGTAGTGACAACTCTTTCCACCATTCGGACATTCCCAAAACCAGCCATATTTATAATTCTCAACGGCGTCAAGGAAGTGTTTACAGATCTGTGAAAAAATCCAAATCAAAGAACTGAAAAAGTATGAAATCAAAATGAAAGTTGAATAAAGACAAGAGTTCCTCGGTACTGTATGTGTCGCCTGCATAAAGTGTCACGGTCACCCAGAAATCGAACTGGATGTCAAAAGTTATATGTACCCTTCCAACAAGAAGCCATATACTAAATTTCATTTCTATAACTCAAAGCATAACCAAAGAAAGTCCAGAAACCAATATTCAAAGAGAATTTTCTAAGTTCAAATGGGCATAACTCTGCCAGGAAGGGTCGCAGACAGCCGGAAATCGATGTTAATCTGTACCCTTCCAACAAGAAGCCATCTACTAAAATTCATTTTGATAACTCAAAGCATAACCAAAAAAGTCCGGAAACTTTCGTACAGACGCTGCCGACACGTGACGACAGACATAGTGTCCGCCAGCTCTACAGGCGACACAAAAAAGACATACAAATTCTTCAATTGATTATATCACATATATAATTTCATAACACCTCTGAATATGGATGTTAAAGGTGTACCGTGTTTTCCAGTAAATAAGTGGTATATAGACTGCAGTGGCAATTCTTTCATTTTTTAAAAATTTGATCCACATATTAGCTGCACCGGAATAAATAAAAATAATACCCTTTCTTACGATGCACATGTAGTAACCATTATTTTGACCAAAGTCTGTTGATATAACACAGATTTTAACCGATTTAACTTCTTTCTTCAGGAGCATGTTTGGTAAAATCAGGGGGCAACATATTTTTATCATTTTTTATTCAAAATTTGGGATAGTGCTTATTACAAGAATTATTAAACAGCGTAATACACTAGTAGCCTTAATAACAGGAATGGGATTATTGTCAGAATTATATTAACAGGTGAGAAACAACCTGATGAAGCCTTTATAAATTATATTGAACAAGTAGGGTACTTTTCTGTATCCTTTCACAAATGATTCCCTTGGCCAGGTATTAAACCTGCAGTTTTCTGTACAAGCACACAAAGAATGGTCTTCACCAGGAATCAAACCTGCACTTTTCTTAACCAGCACAAGGGATGCCCTTGACAAAGACTCAAACCTGCACTTTTCTGTACAAATACACATGGGATGAAATGCTGCCAAATGGGGTTTAAAGTCATATCTCAATGTTGTGCTGATGGAAGTAGTTTGTCCCACAGGAATGTGTCATATATCTCTAACAAGACTATTCAGCAAATTACACCCCTCTTCACTGGCACACCACTTCATCAAGGTGAACCCAAGTATATGAAGTGTAGGAGTTAGACCTAAGACAAAGTTTTCATGGATGCAGATCAAAGGTAAAAATATAGGTCAGAGTAACCTAATTTTGATACACTGCCTCATCAAAGTGCACCTTACACTAATATTTGAATCAAGAATCTTTAAAAATTGACAGAATTTCTTCTGTATAAGTGTACAAAGCAGTATTAACATCCTATACTTACAATAGCAGTTTTGGGTTTTGCTTTTTCATTCTCTCCATGTTTTTTTGACACAACTTCCTCTAACTTATTTTCATCCCAAGTATCCATAGTATCTGAAATAATGAGAAACATAAACATCATATCAAGTTTGGTCTTAAGTTAAATCAGGTGGATACTACTCTACTGGTTAAATACACTACTACATGTAAATGTCTAGTTTTATCTTACAGTTAAATACACTACTACATGTAAATGTCTACTTTTATCTTACAGTTAATACACTACTACATGTAAATGTCTACTTTTATCTTACAGTTAAATACACTACTACATGTAAATGTCTACTTTTATCTTACAGTTAAATACACTACTACATTTAAATGTCTATTCTTATCTTACAGTTAAATACACTACTACATGTAAATGTCCACTTTTATCTTACAGTTAAATACACTACTACATGTAAATGTCCACTTTTATCTTACAGTTAAATACACTACTACATGTAAATGTCTAGTTTTATCTTACAGTTAAATACACTACTACATGTAAATGTCTAGTTTTATCTTACAGTTAAATACACTACTACATGTAAATGTCCACTTTTATCTTACAGTTAAATACACTACTACATGTAAATGTCTAGTTTTATCTTACAGTTAAATACACTACTACATGTAAATGTCTAGTCTTATCTTACAGTTAAATACACTACTACATGTAAATGTCCACTTTTATCTTACAGTTAAATACACTACTACATGTAAATGTTTAGTTTTATCTTACAGTTAAATACACTACTACATGCAAATTTCTACTTTTATCTTACAGTTAAATACACTACTACATGTAAATGTCTAGTTTTATCTTACAGTTAAATACACTACTACATGTAAATGTCCACTTTTATCTTACAGTTAAATACACTACTACATGTAAATGTCCACTTTTATCTTACAGTTAAATACACTACTACATGTAAATGTCTAGTTTTATCTTAGTTAAATACACTACTACATGTAAATGTCTAGTTTTATCTTACAGTTAAACACACTACTACATGTAAATGTCCACTTTTATCTTACAGTTAAATACACTACTACATGTAAATGTCTAGTTTTATCTTACAGTTAAATACACTACTACATGTAAATGTCTAGTCTTATCTTACAGTTAAATACACTACTACATGTAAATGTCCACTTTTATCTTACAGTTAAATACACTACTACATGTAAATGTTTAGTTTTATCTTACAGTTAAATACACTACTACATGCAAATTTCTACTTTTATCTTACAGTTAAATACACTACGACATGTAAATGTCCACTTTTATCTTACAGTTAAATACACTACTACATGTAAATGTCCACTTTTATCTTACAGTTAAATACACTACTACATGTAAATGTCTACTTTTATCTTACAGTTAATACACTACTACATGTAAATGTCTACTTTTATCTTACAGTTAAATACACTACTACATGTAAATGTCCACTTTTATCTTACAGTTAAATACACTACTACATGTAAATGTCTAGTTTTATCTTACAGTTAAACACACTACTAAATTGATAGTCTGATTGCTCCTAAAGGTATAATCATTTTTATCTTATCATTTACTATAATTGTTATTATCCATTTTATCTTAACTCCACATATTTGTCTAATTTTGTCTTAATGCTATATGCCACTTTTTCATTCACAGTGTTACCTATCTGATAATGATCATTTTTGTTTGATAGGAATTTGACACAGTCTCTTAGTTTCTGGTATATCAACAGTATTACGGAAGTGAATGAATGACATCAAAAAATTCAGAAATCAACATGGATGATAGCCATGTTTGAGATTCATAGCCATAAACATAAGTGAAACTGAATCTGATGTGTGGGACCTGTATGACAAATATGCCTTGACATCTAACAACAAACTTGAAACTGGACTACTATATAATGATCCTGCCCTATATCATGGTGCTGATGGTATCTGTTGAAGGTCGATTATCTTGTATAAAGCTACCTTCATCTCTAGTATCCTCATACAAGTTCCTTTTCTCTCCCTTCCTATCCAATGCAAGGTCATGTGAAAATTTACATTTGGCTCCTTTTGAACATTGGCCCTGTTTGTAAAATGCACAGAGAACCGACTTTGGATCTGCACCTAAAAGGAAAAAAAAATCACATATTAAGATATTATAAATGTATATGGAGATAGTGCCAATGCCATCAATGCTTCAAGCAGTGACTAGATGGACTCTTCGCCTTTTACCTGGATACCTGAAGGTATGCAGGAGAATGTAGAATATGGGTGAAGATATTATAAATGTACACATTTTAGAGTTTTTACGCTGAAAATATTGCACTAAAATATAATTGGGCAACTTCATCAAAGCCCTAATTTGTCATAAGGTCAATAATGTACTATATTTGATCTCACTAATTTAAGCATGTTTAAGGTTTTAAATTGTATTCTAATTTAACCAACAACACCGTAGAGCTAAAGTTTTTATTTGGCTAGATATACAGCCTCTCATGAGATTCAAAGTTGCAATTGTTACATGTTTAGTTAAAGTAAGTCCTGTGAAAGCAGACAGGAACAAGTACTAATTGTAATGAGGACCATTACAAATGTCCCCCAAACGACCCCTTCAGCAGTAAATGATCATAATAATCAGACCTGCAGTCATGTCAAACATGGACTACGCCATTTTCCTCCTATAGTGCCACCTAATACATGTATACCAATTTTCATGGAAATCGGACAATATCTAAAATTTGGCCAAATTTTGACCACAGCTGACTGCTCAGATGACCGATCGATGGCCGAATGAAAAATGGACTACGCCATTTTGCTCCTAGTGCCACCTAATATATGTATACCAATTTTCATGAAAATCGGACAATATCTAAAATTTGGCCAAGTTTTGACCACAGCTGATCGCTCAGATGACTGACTGGAAAAATTCAAGTGGTCTGCACTCCGCCTCGCATGTATGTATGTAAAGTTTTGTTGAATTCCATGCAATGGTTTTTGAGAAACGCGTTGGAAACCTCGCCGGCGGAAGAAAGAGGAAGAAATAAGAATAATAAAAATTAAAAAATAATAATAATAAGAAACGGAGCAAACACTATATGACCCCCCACTTCGTTTTGGGCACATAATAACTTGTTGCTTTGCCCAAGTTTATGCACCTGGTAAGGTGCAAGGTCATCTGTCTTACTAAGCCTGCAGGTCAGAGGTCAGAGTTGATGCCACATCTTTATATGGATACTGTTCATACAGGAGAATACAATGGTGGATAGACATCCCTAGATTACATGTATACACTCAGTGAAGAGGATCAGGAATTTACCTTTAGATATTGTTTGTACAGGCCTAAACAGGGTATTCAGAAGATCTTTCTCCTTTGCCTTTTCTTCCTTTTTCTTTTTGCTATCAAGGAAAGGGTCCGCAGCCTTAATGAGAAAAAACAACACAGAAAATCAGATCATTATTGCTTTTTGTCAATTCATAAATTAAACAGAATTTGCAACTGCATGAAGTAATTTATAAAAATGTAAGAAAACTAAAAGTGAATTGAGTTTGGATCATTGCAGTCTACACCAATAGGTAGTTCAGATGTGAAATACAGGGAAATTGCCATTTTCTGATTTCCTGGCCACACATGTTGCAAGCCCACAACCTGGACTTCTCCCTGTACTTCTATGTCGTCAAAGTTACTTCTCCTCACCCCAATATGTTTCTATTGGTGCTAAAAAGACTAATTAATAATATTTGACCTGATGGATTCATTGAATTAAACAAGAGTATTCGATGATGGCAGCAGCTACAGTAAAATAGAAAAATTCTATTTGATAATTGATTATTGACAGAAAAAGTCATTTAAATGGCAAATATATGTCACAATTATGTACATTTGTAGACATGATAGATCAGGATGCTAGTCGTTTCCTACCATGTCTCAAGCATATCTGTTGTTTTATACCACAGTTAATTAAGTTGTTGAGTTCCAAAAATAGAAGTTGGTATGTACCATTATTTTGGTTAAGTGCCATGAAATAAGTCATTTTGTACCACATGATATACATTTTAAAATTTTATATTTGTACATATTTATACTGAATAAAATGGGTGTATTTTCCAGAATTTTTGTTGGTTTTATTTAGATATACTTAATGGATATTTTACAGAATAAATATCGACTTCTCTTTGTTATTTTTGTACAATGTATAATCTTCTTCATTACAAGGTCAGTAATATTGTTATGTCTTTCAAACACTTTTGTTATAATTTTCTTAAATGTTTTGATATTGACAGACTTTAACCTTGCCTTTTTTTGTTGTACTTAAAATATTAAAAACATTAAACTGGGTGTGAAAACTTGTCTTTGTATGTTTTTACTCTAATTACTAATAATCAAATCTTTTCACAAGGAGTGAAATATTTCGTCTGAAGGAAACTTGGAGAACTTTCATCCAATGAGAAATGTTTGGTTACTTCAATCTTATACCACAATTCAACACCAACCATGACTGACTTGTGTATTTTCTGCTATAAACTTCAATGACTCTGACAACATGCATTCACCTGCAATGTTTGTGACAAGTTGCTACTTGTCAGATTGGTAAGTGACAATCAACAATCTTTATTTTCATGAATTTTAATGCCAGTAAATCTAATTTTACTCAATTGTTTCATATCACTGCCAAATTTCAGTAACGAATGCTGAAAATGTATTTTCTTTCTATAATTTGATTACAAACATATATTTGATGATCTGATTGTAAAACATTGGCTGTAATGAAATGTGTCCTGGGAGGCAACTTCAACAATGCTGCTTGCACAAATGAAAAGGTTGTCTTCCTTCAATCGACCAAAACATTTTTCACGACAGACAAAATAGAAAATAAGTTTGAGTACAAATTGACCTTTTTTGTTTGGTGTGTTAAGAATCCAACATTTGTTTTTTCATTCGAATATAGAGTGATATTTGTCGACTTGGTTTTAATATGAATTGGCCAAAGCTTTTGGTACATAACAACCAAATGCTTGGTACAAAACAAATGGTATGGAGAAGTTGTGGTATTAAAGGACTGGTACAGAAACAGCCTTGGTACGGAGCAGTTTCAGAACAGAAAGTGACAAGATGGGGGAATATACCTGGTAATTAAACATGATACAAAGCATCACAAACTTGTGACAATCATTGTACATTAACCTGACATCACTAGAAATCATGCCAACAGAAAATACATCCGTAGAGTAGTCTCTAAAAATTCCTGTACTTTAGCTATTACTTAAGAGATACTTTTCTAAACATTCTATACATATATAGGCATTAACTTTGCCTCTCCTATGCTGAAGATTTCCTTACTCATTTAATTAAAAGTTTTCATTTTTCTGATTCATTAGTTGTGGTTTTGACATCAATCACAGACATACATACCTTGGAAGCTTTGACATTTCCTTGTTTGACCTGATTTGTAACGGTGTTGATAAACTTCTGCTGCTTTGCTCCTTTCTTATTTTTCAGACCAAATGTTTTATCCTGAAAAAATCATGAAGACACACTGATGAAGACACATTCAAATTGTTTTAACAACATTCAAATGGAAAGAAGGGAAGTAACTCTGATTGTACCTAAGATCACTGGTTAACTAGTATGTCCTCCAAATGGGATTAAAGACAAATTCTCCTTTGTCAAGCCTAAAGCATAAAGAAACAGATAGTAATGGATATGTAATTTCATAAAGTGACAGTAGCTAATGTATAACTCTGATGAAACAATTCGGAGTTTTGGAAAAAGGCAATTGCAAAAGTATATCTTTAAACTTCATTATTTTATATATTAAACAATCAAATTAATTTTCATTTCTGAAAGCTTTAGATATCAATCAAACATATTTTGGCTAATTTCACAAAAAAAAAAAAAAAAACATCTGGTAAGCAGTGCCCCACATTTACAAGAAATACTAATCAAGTACCTTGTCTGTAAGAGATTACACTATCGATGCTGACAATTACATTTCATGTAACAGGCTTAAAAACCTGTGAATGGTAATTTCATGCTAAAAAATAAATATTTATCAATGTCTGATTACCCACACAGAAAATTAAAATAAACAATCACTCCTGGGTCATATTTTCCAATTGCTCAGTTGATTCTGGTAGTAAGAAACAAGCATTGGATTAACTGATATTTGGACTAAGTTTGTAAATAGAATATTGAAAATAAAATACAAAGCATAAAGGAATCACAGTCTATTTATGATATGCTTTTGTTTTCAGTTGTATTATACTGTAGGTATAAATTTTGCCCTTATTACATATTATAAACATTACTGTTGAATCATGTGGTACTTTTTAAAAAGTTTGGTATGTACATGTGATCCAGGGTTCATATTTGGAAATAAAAGACTTCCAAGAATAATTAATGAGAAGTGTGGTTTAATATTACACCCTGTGACATAGTAACATAGGATTCATGCCTGTACAGAAAGAAGTTCAAGTCCAGATGAACCAGTCTGATTTACTGTTCATCCAGATTAACGAAAAGTGGAAAAATCTGATTAGGAACACCTGCATCCACTTGAATGCCAACAAGCTTTCCTTAGTTCTGTTTGGAAGCTCAAGTTCTGACTGTATTTTATTTGCCTGAGTATGTAACCGAAACAGATGACAAGTTGTATAGGTGAGCTATAAGAGAGACAAGACATGCAACAAAGTAGATATATAGATGTCAGTATGCAAATATGATGGATAATCGAGCTCTAGATTTTAACAGTGAATAAAAATTGCTTTCAACTCTTATGAAAGGAAGTATAATGAAGAGGGACACTCAAAGCACTGCTACCATTGAGTGTTTATATTTTTTTTATGATTGATGTCTACATGAAACAGAGGTCATTTTTAATTTCAATGCCTCCGTTAGGAATCGAACCCGGGACCCCAGACATACTAATCTGATGCTCAATCGATCAAGCTAAAGAGAAGTTATCTCTAGCTGAACAGTATTTTGCAGCTAGTATTTCACCAGGGTTACATACATATAAATATATGTATCAGTTTTCTGTCCAAAGTCTGGTAACTCCTTGGAATTAGGGATATAACACACCATAATGATAGTCATAGTTGACAAATAGTCATTTTAACTTTACTGTTTAAACAAAACTTGTTTATTTTTTATTGAATTAAGATCTACAATTTACAAAATTAGTGACATGGCTGTCCATTCCCTATGGAAAAAATCGCTTCAATAAAGTGATTTTGAATAGGAATAAACTCAAGTTGGATATCAATGTACATGTAATGCTAGTACACAGTTCAACAGTTTAAGGAAAGTGATTTGTATAATAGCGTTAACATGGAGACCAGAAGGAAAACATCGAGTAGAAAAACCTAAACCAACATGGAGAAGGACAGTGGAAAGGGAGAGAAACAGCGTAGGACTGAATGTATAGGTCGTGGCAAAGACAGGGCCAAAAACAGGTAAAAATGGAAAGACTACATCGGGGCCTTATGAGCTAATGGGTACGAAGAGCATAAGTAAGGTGAGATGAGGATTTCAATGAGTCAATATTTTGATATATATTCTATTGCTCTAAACAGCCATGAGCACGTTGTACATCATGTATTGTACTGTTTGACAGTCGATTATTTTGATTACATACTTCAATGATTTTCTCCTTTTTCTTTTCCATCGTTTTTTTGCTCGGTCCATCTTGCTTCTTGGATTTGGGAGGCATATTACTTGCTTGAAATCGTTTTAAATCAGTTTCGATTGCACAAGAAGTTGGTAGAAAATGTGGCCAAGCGAACCGGAAGTGGAAAAAACAGAAGATGCAAAGCTAGTAGTTGAAGTTTTGATTTCAGTTTCGTATTAAAAAGCGGGAACATTTGATTTCGAGACTTTACTGATATATGGACATTTATAGCCCTAATACACAACAAATTTTTAACTGATTTGTAATTATATTGCACTGATTTTGTGTAAAACGCGAACACAGCTGTTATTCAGGTGAAACGAGCGAGACAGACAGATTTGATACTTCGCAATGAGTTCACGCAGAGACGTATACGTCTCTGGTTCACGTGACAGTTTTCAAGCTTATACATGACATCGAGAAAAGATGAAATTTCATTTAATATTAGCATAATAAAAATTGCAACAATTTGATTATTAAATTTCCATCACGTATATGAGGTCAGTAAATTAAATGTTTCAGGTATAATAATATAAAAAAAGTGAAAACGGACGGAGAAAATTTAACATTGTATTACACTCTTAAAAAAAGAGAGCATACTTATATCATAATTACAAATCTATATCTTTGTCAAATGCTTTTTCTCTGCTCCATACAATACACGCATCATTATTAACAAATTTCGCATGTACGTGAAGGACATTAGGAGACAGGGCAATACAACTTGCCACATACATTCTCGTACACGGAAAGTGACGAATGTTCCCGAGCCATCAACCGGAAATCGGGCAGACAAGAAATCATCTATATGTATTTGCGCTCTTACCTGGATCAGAGACGTATATAACATGTTATATACGTCTCTGCCTGGATCAATACTGAATAAGAAGAACAATATCTGATTTACTAAATAATCGCATCAAACAGAATCACTTTGCTGTATTTATTAAATATTTCAAACCTTAATTTGGAACGAATATTTATCAATAATTTACAACAGAAAAAAACAGTCGGGAATTATAGGTTCTTGATATCGTTAACAAAAATCACGTTTCGTCACCTGGTACCGAAATGTGTGTTCATGATTTTTCATTTATTTATTTTTCTTTGAAAAAGAACAACAACTAAAAACTGCACACGTGTACTTGTGAGACATTTCCCAGTGTAAGTACTTAATCAAGTTCGACTGTTAAGACAATAACGAACCGTTTTCATTTTTTAAACATTGTTTTTCCTTTTGTTTTTCCTCAACAATCCTTCAAACCTAGATCATTAGTCAGAAGAAGTCAATATTGTTGTTGTATATTTGAAAAAGATATCTATCAATCGTGACTTCAAGGTATTTGGGAATCCGAAACGAAGATTTTTGCCTAAATTTTATTTTTGGTCAAAAAAGGTACTTTCAGTTTTGCCAAAACTGGACAAATAATTTGTGACATGATTCCAGACCAGAAGATATTCATGTGGAAACATAATCGCACTGTCATTTACACATAAAAAAAGTTTGCATGACTCGTATGTATTCCTTTTTATATGATTAACAGAAATTTTCAAAACAGAAGTGAACCTATTTAACTGCCTCTAGAGGCACCGTATTGGACAGTTTTCTCGTTATTATGACGATTCGCATCACTTATAGGCCTGCACACAAATCACTTATAGGCCTCCACACAAATCACTTATAGGCCTGCACACAAATCACTTATAGGCCTCCACACAAATCACTTATACTAGACCACCACACAAATCACTTATAGGCCTGCACACAAATCACTTATAGGCCTGCACACAAATCACTTATAGGCCTGCACACAAATCACTTATAGACTTCTACACTAATCACTTATAGGCCTCCACAAAAATTACTTATAGGTCTCCACACAAATCACTTATAGACCTCCACACAAATCACTTATAAGCCTGCACACAAATCACTTATAGACCTCCACACAAATAACTTATAGGCCTCCACACAAATCACTTACATGCCTCCACACAAATAATCTTCAAATTGACACACATCATGATTAACAATAACAAACAAATTCTGATAATTTACAACTTATCTCCCTTGGATCATCGCCATCCAATTGGTTCATCACCAACACTGGCATCGCTACCCACATATTTACTATGTAGCAAAGGATGCATGGATGTAGGACTTTGGAATTTGTTCCGCCCAGAAATGCTGGTTGTCTTTTCCATAACTCTCCTGTGATATCTGCCTTCATGTGTTGACAGCATTTTCATAAATTATGTAACGAATTTTTAGGCTAAGTTTTTCTGCTACAATGTTAAAACGTTTTCTATTCAGTTCCTGCCACACTTCCATTACCTGAGAGTGTGATTCAGTACATTTTACCTACACCTTCCTGATTTCCATTCCTCTTCAAAAAACGACACACAATAAATCTGTTCATTTCCAAAATGTTTGCTGTTTTAAAACCGCTTTATATATGCCTTTTAAACTTGAAGATCAACTGTTTTGATCAGGTGTCATATGCCCTCCTCTGGCAGCCTTAGCTTTAAAACTAGCAGTCAACAACTATTTTTAAATACAAAACACGAAATTTGATTTCAATGTAAATAGTTAATGTTGAGAGTCTGTCATGTCCTTGATTTAAAATTTTGATGGATAAATGGTAACATCGATGGCCATGGTGAAAAAATTACTTGTTATAGGAATACAGGACCTCGTCAATATATAGAAATGTGATTCAATAACAACATTCTATAATGGAACCGTTCAGAGCGAGTCATTTACAGCTGTTACAGATTTCCTTCATATATTTCTATATATCTTTCGATAAATATAACTATTTAATCACGTTAAATCACAAAAAAATACTTTCTAGTGAATAACATGGCTAACATCGTGATTTACCAATAAATCTGAATTCAGGGTTTCCCTAAGCGAACAAGGATGTAAAGTGTGATTGGGTATCTTGTTTGTAAATATGTGAATATTTTATTTTTTATGACGTCACTTCCGTGTACTTAAAACCGATGGTTCCATGACATTAAACTAGGCTCGCATTCCATCAGTCTTAACTGAAGGAATTTATTTGTTAATTCATAAACTTAAAAGGGACTGAAGGTTCTCTTGTAGTGATACACGTACTTGATATGGAATGTCTATCACAATATATCATATGATATTTATAGACTTGAGACAGGATCAGAGCTTGACCAGGTTCTACTCAGATGCCAATGGTTATATCGTGTTTGCACTAGTACTTTTTGTCTCTTATTTGTCTACTACATCTTGGCTGTTTAAGAAAAAGAACATTTTAAAAATGCGAATGCACACATATTTATGTGCGTGAATATTTCTGTTCATTACTGTTCTCCTGTGAATTCGCCCATGTAATATTGTTGCTTGTATGTCATTATCATTATTTATTTTTTGTAAGTCTTTTATATTTTTCATTTTTTTACATCATCATCATCATCATCATCATCATCACCGTCATCAGAATAATTCACAGTCACATATACCCCCAACCCTACCATCTCACACACAAACAAACACACATTCAGTGTAGGAATAGTATAGGGTTTCTCGGCACATTTTAGCTGTATATTCCAAGATGAAGGTGAAAAGAGGTAACAGTGTTCGGAATTACATACAATAACCCTAGTTTCAGAATCTACAATGAATAAGTTTTATTAATTAAACACCACATCTGTACAAAACATTTTTTCACATATCAATACAATAATAAAACTTATACTGTTATTTCTCTGTATATTTCGATATTTCATATTAAGATTTACAAATGAGAGGGAGTTACTTAATGAAGCAATAACACTGAAAAAATATAGAAGGAATCGAAAAAGTCACGAATGAAACATGCGAAGGTGATTCAATTCCATAAAACATTGTACGGTTCATCTCCCTCCTACCTGAATGGCCCACTTTCTCCTTGTCTTTATGATACAACACTACAGATGTTGCTAATTTCCTATCACCTATATGCAAGACAAAACTATTTGCCACCTACCGCTGTCAACTTTCCTTCCCATACACGTTCAGTTTATTATAGCCTCAAAACGCCTACGTTAGATCAAATACATCATTCACTTTTAATGCACAATGTATCTCAATTAAAGTTGATATTGTCAACATGAACCTTACTATCGGTCCGACACAAGTGGAAATGTCCTTGTTCTCACTAAACGTATCAGACAATGTCCTTGCTTTCTTCGAAATCCCCATGAAATAGAAAGACGTCCTAATTATAAATATACATCTATATCTGTTGTAGAAAACGAAGTCGTGCTGTACTCACATTAAACATTTATATTACACCTTAAACTTTTTTGACATGAAAATCAGTGCAGATATTATAGCTCTGTTGTTACCAAACTTTGTATATAGATGATAAAGTCACTTACAACTGACCAATCTATATATTACATGTACTTATGTACAACTTTACGCATACCTAAATTGTACTGGAATCTGTTTCACTGTACTTACATCAATGTTTTTATCCGATTTTTCATTCTCTACTTTTTACCATTTTCCTACTGTCTCTTTCCCTTTTTACTTCCTCTCTTTTCTTCCACTGATAAGTCGCCGCCACCTTGTTGGTTTATATATCTTTTTCAAATCCTTCTTGTAAATGGTATGAGACATGAAAATGTTGTGATGAAAATAAAACAAAAAATGACAAAATGAACTGAATTTCTGATTGACAGTCTTCGTCGAAGTTTTGGTAATATCTTCCAATAGACTACAGGAACAAAGTATGCCCCTCTTTTTTTTCTTTTTTTTTCCATACGAATCTTTCTGACCATGTCTATCGTATGTGCCCACCAGAACAAGAAATGACATAACATACTTGTCTTCTTCAGTCACTTATCTCGATCTTTTAATCACAGACAACATTCCAACAAACTGTATGTTAAGCGTGATGAGTTCAATTTCCCTATTGTGAACTTTCCATTTCTGTGTAGCAACATTCCTCCATCTCTAACCTAAAGTGTTTTTTCAAGCAGTTGATTCGATATTCTACTGCCTGCTCCCAATACCACGATTCCCTGCAGAAAAAGCTTTAGAGAGATACCGGTTGATAAAGATATGTGGATATAGGGAAGTTTTTACGATCGTCTTAATGATCTCATTGAGAAACAGAATATGTCTTTATATGTGAAACTGGATGTATTTGATGCACACCAGTTTGCCTGGCGATTCCGTATTGTTGATATTTTTCTTAATTGGAAATGTGACATTGCTTACTTGGTTAACATGACATTTGTAGGGATAACTTAATCGTGCATATATCAAAAATAACTTTAAATAATATTTATTCAGCTTTCTACTTTTGTTCAGTTTGAGTGAGAAGATTGGTTATGTACTGTTGGCGAAAAGTGGTGTTAAGTGCAGCACGGCTAGTTAACTCAAGTAATATATGTTATACATGTGTTATACGCCGGAACCGGAAGTGACTATTTGTGGCATCCGTTTTCCTCTATCCAATTTTAATTGATCAAGATTACCAGTATTAAATGTTGCTATCTGTAGTCCTGAGTGAGTTGTATACAGACCGGACAGAACCCTAAGGCAGGAAGTAATTTAGTTTTATATCAATACACAACCTTTACTGGTTGAATCGTGTGTGATGCTATATTCAATTACTTGTAATTGTTTAAAAAATATTGTTAAAACAGTGGTGTGATTCAAAATTGACACCGTCTGCAATATAGAGAAAATTATACATATTTCTGTGGACACAGGTGAACTATTCTGTATCATTATCTTATGAACAGGTGACACACCTTATAATGTCGGTAGATATGCTTGATTGAACATCACCCGTCGACTGTTGAGTACATATGAATGGAAAGTAAATATGTGTTTTTCATTTTCTATCTTTGGTCTCGTTACTTGACTAAATCTTTCAGTTTCGTTTCATGTTAATATGAAAAACAGGATGATTTTGTGACAGGATTTGGAAAAAAAATATCTGAGTAATTTCTACAAATAAAGAAACAGTATAGACTGTGTATCTACCTATGACGTGGACAATCCCCAAATCTGTATACACAAAACTGTGTACTGTTTATGTGAAGCTTTATCGTTCATTTGTCATTACAACCACTGCAGAAAGCGGGGAGAGAAGACGTCTGACAGGTAGGTTATGGGTGAGGTAAGATGGGGAAGATAGGTTATGTTTAGCATGTTACTATTAATCGTCGTATTTGCTATACATACATCTGTATATCACTGCGGTATAACATTGTGAATCAATAAACATTCATGTCCCAATAGGTTCTTGTGAACTTTTATTACCATCTCATCCCTTCACAGTTTCAAGCAACTCCACAAACCTGCTAAGAATAAGGAAGAGGTTGGTATTATCTAAAATCCAGTTCATAAGTTTTGTTGTTGTGGCTTAAATCATATGATAGAATTAAAATAAAATGTTTCAAATTTTTAATGATAAAAATTGTACATTTTAAAATCAAGCTCATTTTTTCAGATGTTTTTTCTTTGTTTAAAGGCATATCAAGTGACTGGTTTCATAAGTTCATCCTCTATGTGGCTATTGCTTAGAAGCGGTAATACATTCTGGCGGAAACTACAGTAATGTTCATGTATATAACACAAAATCAGTCAGACCTTTAGATACAGACATCCCTTTCATACAAACTAAATAACACTAGTCTACCTGATGAACAGAAAACATACCTGGGTCATCTGATACAGTAGCCATGGAGCAAAGGCTGATCATGCCGTATACACACAATTACCTAATGTAATGGATATTTAAATATATACATGTACAAACATTTAGTGATTAAATAAAAAAAATATTACAGTAGACTTTAAACAAAATGTATGTGTTATAACAATGGAACACAATCTACTTTTATGCTATTTCCGACTTGTGGTTGTTGATTACGTGGACTGTAAAAGGTTGCCTTGGTATAGTTCTATTTTCGCTTTTTTAAAAGTGAAATTGTGAAAAACAGTAAAACCAGAAGACCATTTCGTTCGGTGAGACAATAAATAGTATTTATCTATATTCTTGGTAGTTAATTGGATTGACCAACATTTGTTGTTACTCTTCCGGAACACCTGGTCTTATTTTACTTGTACATTCTCATGGTGTCTCCGTGTAACTCATTCTTTGGTTCATATTTTCTCCTAGCTTCATCGAACATGAGTTTGCATTAAGATTATGTTGACATGTCGGTATTTTATTTGTAATTTCGTTACAAACTGTTTTACTTAAATTTTCAGACAATGCAGTTTGAGGAGGACACTAGGAGCGGTAAATGTACTTGTCTAAGCGCACAAGGCGTCAACAAGCTTTTGGTATTTTATTTTCGTTTTTTTTGTTATGGGTTTCACTAATAAATATTGTACAAAAGACACACGAGTGAATAACACATTTGCATAATTTAGAGTGAGATAGAGTAGAGCCAAACAATGAATTAAACCGCATCATACAGCTATTTCGTCGTTCTAGGACTCATCAGTAATGTTAAAATTTTGAAACCTAGGACGCTTAAATAAGTTAGTGTATATATGAAACAGTCGTAGGTATTGTCTTCGATAATACTAAAATAAATGGCAGATTTGGAACCAAACACGAACTAGATACCAAAAGATCATCTGAAGGTCAACGAGACATGTCTATTTTATATAGCCATATGTAGTTGTAATTAATGAACTAGCAATATTTCTGACCTTCGCCATTTTAATTAAACTGCAATGTTGTGCAAAAAAATAACAGCAACTGATTACGTATCTCGCTGAAATGTGTCGAATTATAGTACTAATCATATTTATTCATGCTATCGTTTTAATTATATCTTGAAACTTGCATTTTTCCAAACTTAACCTGACAATCCATAATACCTACAATATATTACATATATTGCTATAATGTCTTTCCCTGGTTTAGTGTTTCCCATTGTGTTGTGTTGAGTTCAATTGCAGTGAAACGTTGAAGTTTATTTAAACACCATGAGAAGTTTTATCAGTGTGGTGTTGCAGGTCAGATATTACATTTACTGTTTGGCATGAGTTTGTCCGCTATGGTTCAGCTGATCTGAGTACAGTAGCTCTACAGGACCAATTCTAAATTGACGAATCCCTTTATTTCAGCTAATAGTGGCAGTGTGTTTAGCAGCGACTACAATTATTGTCATTGCAGTTTTGATATGGAAAGAATTCAGGTAAGTTTCTGTGTTTTTAGATCCTTGTCGTTTTCTCCTGATACTTCAAGATTGTCCAAGCCTCATCTCCTGACACAGTTCTTACATCTAAATCATCCAAGCCTCATCTCCTGACACAGTTCTTACATCTTAATCATCAAAGCCTCATCTCCTGACACAGTTCTTACATCTAAATCATCCAAGCCTCATCTCCTGACACAGTTCTTACATCTTAATCATCAAAGCCTCTTCTCCTGACACAGTTGTTACTCATACATCCTCCAAGCCTCTTCTCATGACACAGTTCTTACATCTAAATCATCCAAGCTTCTTCTCGACACAGTTATTGCATCTAGATCCTCCAAGCCTCTTCTCATGACACAGTTCTTACATCTAGATCCTCCAAGCTTCTTCTCGACACAGTTATTGCATCTAGATCCTCCAAGCTTCTTCTCGACAGTTATTGCATCTAGATCCTCCAAGCTTCTTCTCGACAGAGTTATTGCATCTAGATCCTCCAAGCTTCTTCTCTTAGCATAGTTATTGCTTCTAGATCCTCCAAGCTTTTTCTCCCGACACAGTTCTTATATCTGAATCATCACGGCTTTTTAAGTCTTTTTGTAAATATATCCTTTCTAACTACAAAGTATTTATCATTGTTTACAGCCCTAAAGTTTTATTAACAAACCTAGGTATTGGCAAACATGAACGTTAATATCCAAGGATTCCCTAGCTGTACAAGAGGCCCATGGGCCCTGGTTTCCAAATATAAAAAAGTATTTTTTGAGATAATTTATCCATTGAGTCCTGACCTTGTGGTCGAACAGAAGCCAGAATCATCATTCATAAAATCCTTGTAAGGATGGAGGATTTGTAAGAACTTTTTTGTAAGAACTATCGTTTCTCATTATGTGCCATACATCTCTGATCATAGACTCCTGTTTGGTACAAAACATGAGTTCCCTTTAACTAGGAATGTTTCAGACCAAATCAGGACAGAGTCCCTTTCCCACAAGTATTTAGAACATTTCCTCTATTTCCACTAATCGGCCCCAAGCCACAGTTAACACAATTTAACACAATTTAAAAATTGATTTCCTATCATCCAATAATACAGTCTTAATTAGGAGAGAAGCATGACATTACTACAGAAGACGAATTTGCTCTATTTCCCTTATTGGGCCCTGACTCTCCCATACCAGGGGACAGAGACCGACCGTTTATTCAGCTTGACACCCCTCCCCCCCACCCACATATGGCGGTGAGATACTGTTGATATAAATTTATTTCCCTTTACCTAAACAAATTTGAGACCAAATAGATACAGTGAGGGAATATGTCATTATATATTTTTACTCCACCAAATCAAAACTGCTTATAAATGTTGTGTCCGACGTACGATAACAGTATGGATTTCAATCTTGGTGGTTTCGTTTGCTTTTTGTGCTGAACGTGATTTTCTGAATAGTGAATCAGATGTTGATCTAGCAATCATAAGTGACCCCCTATTTGCTGTATCAGAATCAGCGAGGAGTTCTAGCCAAGATTTTCTCCAATTCACACAAATCGCTACTGCTTACTATCAAACAGAATCATTCCGACTAATGATGTTAAAAAGGAATCTGTCACGTTTTGATCTGGGAGCCCCTCCATCAACTGTCTGGCTGTATACTTTCCCGTTTGAATGTGATGGGCTCACTGATGAATGAATTTAGAATGACTGAAAGTGGTGCGAATTAGCTTCCACATCACATCATGCCATGCAGGCTCGTGTGTGTAGTAATTTGGTATAAAATAATCTTTCGTATTGTAATGTTTTTGAAATGTATCAAAGAAAATCAGTTTGCCTTTCGCACCGTCATGAAACTAAAAAATATTCCTATTAATTCTTTGTAAGTATATGCCTTGTCCATGGTAAACTGTGTTAGAATTTTGGATGTAGCTGTTATATCAAATCATGTCTTTCATTACCAACAAATATTTGTCTCTGTTATTGATAGTGAGGATAAACGTATAACCAGTGCTACACTGAAAAAGTCCTATCCCGGATATTTCCGGACTGAGGAAGAACAATTGGAATTTGAGCGAAAATCGAGTATATATCATATAGTCAAAGAAAACGTCACGAGTCCCTGGAGTTGCGGAGTAAATTGCTTTCTGAAGAACAAAACAGTTAGTACTTCGCCGCGGACGCGGAGATCGGCCTTAGATACCACGTTCAATGGCTGCTGTCAGTCGTAAGCTCATTTTAAAATATTTTTACGTTACACAAACATAACAATAGATAAAATGATAATTAAAAAAAATATATATTTTGTAAGACTGTAAAGGTACAAGTTTTAGCGGTAATATTAATTTAGCGCTTTTTGTGCTCAAGTTATTGGTCAAAACATACTGTTGCTAATAACAGTTTCTGTACCGCTGTAAATATAATAACTATTGCGCGAACTCAGCTTAACATCCCTTTTTAATTGAAAACGTGCTAAAATTTTATTTCGGCAAGATCAGTACGTTTACAGTATATGGATGAAGTTAAGAGAGAACACTTATTCTGTAAACTGTGATCATACAGCAGGATTATATTGAGCTTGTTGTTCAGAGAGATGTCCTTTTCATTGCATTTAAAACCGTTTTTCATGAACAAATCTCTCTGATAAATTCTCAACATTTTTTTTTCATTTTTATTTTGAAGGAATACATTCTTCATCAGTCCGAATTTTAAGGACAATTTATTCGGTGCTACTCGTGAGCTTGTTTCACTAGACGAGGCACGTCAGTTCTTCCAGACCGGAAGTTGTCAGTAAGTCTTCTTACTCTATTTTGAATGTATTATCTGTTCTTATGATTTAACACTGGTCTTTCAATTGCTATGATAATACCAACTGAAAAGAATGTATGTAAGATATAAATGACTCGCAGCCATGTGAAATTAATGTCGGCGTTGAATCGCTGGTGATTTTCTATATATAGCAACGATGACGTTGGCCGTGACCTTGGACCCCTGAAACACAACGATGTCTGAGGTGTCCTCATAATTAATCTTTGTATCAAGTTTGACCAAACTCTATGGAAAAATGAAACCACTCGTTGTTTAAATTGAACTAGATAATACATTATATAAATAAAGCACCATTAACCTTGGCCTTGAACTTGGCCCCTAATACACGACATTTTCCAAAATATACTCATTCTTGACCTTTGCGTTAAATTTGACCTAATTCAATGAAAGAATGGAGTTGCTAAGTGTTTAAATTGAATCAGTTGACGATTTGCTATAGATAGCATGTGTAAACTTGGCCTTTACCTTGTACCACAGAAACACAACAGTACCCGAAGTATACTCATTACTGACCTTTGTACAAAGTTTAATCAAAATCTATCAAAGAATGAAGTTGTTAGGTGTTTACAATGAATTAGGACGGACAGGACGAGACGCAACGCGAAGGGACAGAAGTGGGTTACGCTCTATGTCCCCAATTTATGGCGGGGGGCATAAAACTCAATCCATGAAGAAACATTGACAGGATCTCGTTTTTAAAATACCCACAAGGAAAGATAAACTTTGTTCTCCAAATCAATCCTTAAAATATCACATTGGAAATAGCGACTTAATTTTTTGTTGTCTTGCATTACTAGCTGTGGAGGCACGTGTTGACAGCGACAGAATTGAATTCTGAAATAGCAGTGCTGTGCATTTCTCTTATACCTGAAAATCAGTGCAATATTTTAGGTATATATGTGGGTTTCAGAACTTCAATATCATACCACGAACGAAACATATTTAAAGATATGGAATCAAAATTATCTGTCACTATTTCAGGTTTGCGATCGGGTGTACTGGGTGTACATGTATGATGTCCAAGGAGATTGATACTGCAGTGGTGTACAAAACTGGAGAGACAGCTGACACAGCGGAAAGCATAGACGACACTGAAATTGACACGTTCTACTTCGAAAAATGTTGTAAATGTGTGAATATTGGGCAATAGATTCAGGACTGAAGATAAATAATGTTCTGATAAAATGTGAACACTTCTCGCTTTAGTAGACAGAATATAAACACATATCATAGAGGTTAGAATGCTAGTCCTCCACACAGTATATTTAATAAACTACGGAAAATCTATGGACGTTATCAACTTGAAGGTTGAGGAAACCCGAAAATGATGTGAACCCGTGAAATTGTAGCCACATTTGGCTTCATCGATAACTTGCCATATACAATTTGTAAATCGTTATCAGTAACAAAGAGATGGTATCAACATGTAAATCCAAAATCTAATTCAGAATCAATAATCGGGTAAAATTCAAGGAAAGTTCCAACCATTGCAAATAGGAAAGTGTTCTGGAAAATCCTGTCACAATGTATGAACCATTAGTCACACAATTGTATGATAGATATTCTTAGCAAGACCTTGAATTTCGAATCAAAAGCGGAATGCGAACATTAGACAGCGAGGCAGGGATGTTACTGTTAAGGAATGGCAAATGGACAATAGTAACTGTTGATTAAGATTTTTTACAAAGGGGTGGCAGTTAACTGCAGTTCAAATAATGGTTGCGGGCTATACAGGAACGAATTTCATGTAAAGTATAAAGCCAAGCCAAGAGGATGAATTCGTTAAGAGTTAAGATGATTGAATTTCTAGTTCACCATCTCGAACCCATTGGTATGATCTTCCAACAGAGTTCTTGCATGTCCACCGGTGTATTTTGTGAAATATTCGTTGCTTGTAACAGTATCATATCAATAAGACAAAGACAAGTTAAATCATAACTGTGTTTATTTCAAATGAAACCACTACAGCAATGGCCTTACTAGGTATATACAGCGATATATACGGACTCATCATCATTTACAGAGACTATTCTCTACATGCATAAACAATGAATTCAATCATTCACATCTTAGACGGATTGTAGAAAAAAATAACAATCGGTTTTCTAAAATAATTATAATAATAAAAACAAAAAATGAATTTGGATTGAATGTATTCTTTATATTTTAAAAACCTTGTTGATTTTTTTAGATGCTTCACAATAGCCGGGTTTTCGTGTTTCTCTGTATCAGCAGGCTGACTTCATTTAGCCATCCCGGAGTCCCTGTGATATTATGTTAACAAACATATAACGAAGTCACATGGACGAAGGCAAAAAAGAAACGACGAGAAAATGTTAAATGTTACTAAGCTTATTTACCCAGTTGCCAGTTCTATAATAGTTAATTGGGAAGTTTATGTATTCACTATGTAAAACACCGAGCAGTTGTTTTTCATTATCATCAAGTTAGAGATAATATTTATATACCATTTTCATCAGCCTAGATGAAAATAAGGAGTACATTTGTAGTTTGATTGCCTTTCTAAAACTCGTTTCAATGAACCACGTGGTAAATTTCTCACCCATGCGTAACGAGGACATTTCAGAGCCTAAAGATAACTATCGGGACAGATATGAATGAAGCTGGACATTGGTGTCACTTTTCATATGAAAGGAGTAGCACTTTTCAGTAAAAATCTAAAATGGTGTCCCAAACCCATTGATCTATAAAATGGAAGTGGGCATTGGAAAATTCCGGAATCAAAAAGAAAATCTGTAAACAGTAAATGAATACTGAAAAAAAAAACAACGAAAAAACGAGTATTTCCCTGAGACAATGGTAGTAAACAAATACATGATGGTACGGATTTAATAATGCGGATTACTAAATTGCTAAATCTAGAACTGTTTAAACAATTATCTTCAGTCAGTGGTATTGTTCGGTCGTTCTCATTTTCATCTTTCAAGTAGAAATTATCACCGGACCATTAGCAGTAACATGTAACTGAAGTTAAAACATTTATTTTACGAGTTCCCTATCCAAAGTCTTTTCACATTCTTTTACATACAAAATGAACCACAGAACTGATATAACTAATGTATATAACCATAACGTATAGATGAACATAACACGTGTTGTAAACGTCTGTGCGACATCTCAATCCGTGTCGTAACACCACTTATTAGTGACGTTATCTCAGTCAGTCACTTAACACCACTTATTAGTGACGTCATGAGTACAGGCAAACACATTACATGACCTATTTAAAAGGTTTTCTCCAGTACACTGTCCTCAGTTAATTACATATGCAGATTTTTAAAGTGGATTTCTGTTGGTATTTTCTTGTGTTATCTTGAATAATTGTATTAACGTTTAACATAAGGGGATACATCTCCATTTCAGAATCTTTTAAACTGAAGTTTTGCTGACAGTGATGAAGTATAATGTATCTTTCCGATTAAAACAAATCATTACAAGCATATTCAAACCGAATCCTAAAGAATATTTTGAAAAATACCCATTTTAACTATACCTGTAGTCCATATTTTGTTTTCTATCCTGAATCTTGTCTTGTGGAACCCTTTTAAAAAAACACTATAACCCATACTTTTATTTCCCTTAGACCTGGTTTCATATTATGGTAAGGCTAAAATACCTTTTTTAACCTAAAGTTAATATTTTTCATAATGGACCTGGAATTGTTAGGATAAGGTGAGATTTGAACACATGGATAAAAATTAGTCTACAACAAGTCACTGCGACCTTTCCCTCTATTCACGTTTCTTGCATACAGCAGGACCATCACCGGATACAGTATACACTGGGCAACACAACATGGGAATAAAGTTAATCAGATCTATACATGGCAATCATCACAAGACAGCAGCATTAACATACATCATATCTAATTTACATCTCATTTCTGTGTAAATATTCAAAAGATGCAAATATATCTCATTTTCAGAATGAATATGAAAAAGATGCAAATGTACCTTGTTTTCAGTATGAATATGCACAAGATGTAAATATATCTTTTTTTAGTGTAAGTATGCATAAGATACAAATGTATCTTGTTTCCAGAATGAATATGCATAAGATGCAAATATAACTCATTTTCAGTATGAATATGCATAAGATGCAAATATAACTAATTTTAAGTATGAATATGCATAAGATGCAAATGTATATTTCATTTTCCATTATGAATATACATGAAGATAACAACTATCTTAAAAAAAAAATAGCAAGCATTGTATTGAAAAAGTATCTTAAGAATGACAAAATTAAATGACAGCCATTTGGTCAGTCAATATTACCCAGAATACAATCATTTATGCAAGAAACGTAGTGCTATGGCAAAAATAAGAAACATGATTGATTAAAGATGAAATATAGCAGTTGAATATTTTTATCACATTTTCACACAACATAACATTTCTCCTGACTTCTAAGATTATCAGTTAGTGAAACATAGTCTGACACAGCATGAAACACCTGAGAAGGGACATTTATAAACATGATACTATCCATGTCACACAAACACTTGTTTTCTTTTTTTATTGCAGAATAAACATTTAACTGCCTATCTATGACTGCCTTCAAGTAATCTTTTTTTAAAAACTTAAAATATCAGCTTGGAGAGAAATAGAAGGACATTGTAATATCATTTATTTTCATGGGGCTCAAATTTAACAGGGTGTTTTTTTTTAGAATACTACTGTGTGGCTGTTTTACAGAATGACATTTTGTAGACTTGAAAGAAATGACACAGTTTAAATGTCACTTGTATCATCCAAACCTGATAAATAAATAAAAGATATTTATCCAACTAACTGAATGTTCACAATAGCAATTTAGAATGCCTTTTGTTTCTTTTACCACTACAGGTAGTATACCAAATATATAGTTATATGTAAACTGTCAAAGTTTTATCTATGTCATAAGTCATTGATTGACATATGATGTTATAAATTAACAGTACCCATGGATTTAACAGAAACAAATACACAAGATGGATGCAGCTTTTAAACAAAAGGCACATAGGGCCTGTATCACTCACCTGGTTTAGTCTCCTAAAACTGATTTTGTGAGTCAGATTTATCCACAAAATCAAGCCCCGATAAAAATGTTTATTTTTTTAGAAAACCATGAAATTTGTGTCCCCAGAATATAAATGACATTACATATTAAACAGAATATATTCAACCATTCTCACAAATTACTCTCCCTAGCTGCTCTAAAACAATCACAATCACACGATCCCTGAATGTAAGTATAATGAATTTTTTTTAAACGGATAATGTTAAATGGTAAAACAGTCTTGTGATCAATCACAACAAATGTACCAATGTTTTATTTAATTTCAAAACATTAGAAATTTTTTTTTCTAAATCATAGGATAAGGAAAAACTTGTGAGATCAACGAAATCAACTCAAAAATAGAATCATTTATTAATAATTGTGCCTGCTGACATATGCATTAGAGTAATGTCGACAGAAAACAATATTGTACATGAGCATGCCAACAGAGTGCTCATTATCATTATATATGCCTACAGATAGCATTAACGTCACTTCTGATTAAATATAAAGACAGGATATTAGATTTTAAGAGTTTGAAAAATCAACTGATACAATGTGTATAATTTGATCGATTTGGCTAAAAAGACTACTTAAACAATCTGAATATTTTACGAGAAGCATTTAATATGTTAATGTCTAGCGCTCTCATAACTTTAGTAACTGGTGGCCATAGATTTTCAAAATAAAAGTAATATTTTCATATCTTATAATAAAGTTCTATGTGAATGCTTCATAAGATTCACAGTTCCAAGCTGATAAATGATGTTTGTTGCTATTACCTGGCTTTTAAAGAGAATCCTAATGTGTATAACTGCTTGCTGATAAATTTATTTCAAAGTAAACAAAGGTATATTTGTCGAGAAGGATCTTTTAATACAAGACACTGTATAAAACAGAAAAGTATATTTACCAATTTATACAAATGATTTATCTATAATATATATACAATTATAATTCATTAATGAACTATAGGAATCACTTTTTTGTTAATCTGAGGTAGAAAGTGTTATTACAAATATCAAAATACAATACCTAGCATGGTGATGCAGATTTATTGCACAAACGCCAGAATGGACAAGATAGACAGCGAAAATGAAAACTCCCATTATAACTGTATATGGAAGTTATTGAATAGTTTCCCAATGAATAATATACAACAATGTATATTTTCCGCAAGACTGATTTATCAGGATATGCTTAAATAAGCATCATTCATCCGCAAAACTCAAAAATTTCTGATTATTTTTTTCTAGTCTGAAAATATCAATGCACTAAAGCACTTTGGAGGTTATTAATGGTAGATATTTTGTAGACAACAATTCTACAGACACATTTTGTTGTCTACAGGGTGTATCTTCTGTTAGTTCAACCAAAACAACCACTTATACCGAATGTCACTGGGTTCGGATGCAGTCAATTAAAGTTATCTAACTTTACAAATTTGATATTTGTAACTATCAGTTAGATGAATGGTTTCTGATCAGTAACTATACAAATCTGAAATCTGTAACTCGTTTTGATGAATGGTTTCTGATCGATTAGTATACAAATCTGAATGTGTAACAGAATCTGACAAAATCAACAATGAGGGTTAATGTGCTCCTGTCCAAAAGCAAAAATATTTAAACTGTATTTCTTGTTGTTGGTGCTTTTGCTAAACTTTCTGTGACTTTTCTGAAGAAATCAGATCCAATTCTTATAATAATTGTTGCTAAATTCTGAAGTACAGGTATCTTTTTAAGTAGTTGTAATACAGGGAGGGCTTAGGTTAAGATTTCTGGCTGTGCAATATCATTATTGTTGTAACAGGAAAACATTAACTTTTTTAAGATGAACTTTCCTCCAGCAGCAATGTTTCCCTGTGTTTGTCTTTGTGTAATACATTTCTGCAACACTTCTCCTCTGCTTTCCTGTACAAAGTTCAACTTTCCCTATTTCAACATCTTCACACCATTAACTAACAATTAGTTTCAAAGTTATATTCTTTAATTACTGTCCATTAGCATTTTGTAGCTTGTCATTTCTAAGTTACACTCTTCATTATATTGTAAAACTATTCATTTCAAGTCAAACTTTTCTTGTCTATTTTAAAATCTTCCACTAATATCTAGGTAATGTGTATTTAAAGTGACCATTTTGCCACAAGAAACAATAAGTTTTCACCTACCATTATTAAACCCCAGTTCTCCTGCTATACATATGGTCATCAGAGTGCTTTACAAGCAACCTCAAAGACACCATTCTAATAATGTCACAAACCTCATGTAATTAGTGTTCAACTAAATACAGTATCCTTATGAAGATCAATTTTCCATGCATGATCTCAGAGTTATCTCCCTTGAACAATGTTTTAAACACTCATGTTCTGACAACTTCTCTCTACCGAATCAGAACAATGCTATGAAAAATTGTCACAGTTTCACAAGAATCTGTTGGCAAGTAGCAAAATGTCGGGCCCTACATCAACTTTGAGAGATGTATTATGAAGGATTTTAACAATATTTTTTTTATCCAGACACATCTTGACCAGTACTGTAGGCTTACTGGTGTACATACAGAGTACATGATCAGTGTCTTAGATTCTAGTCTGTATTTTAACCTTCTGTCCTCAATCAAACCACAGCTTATATTTTAAGACACTGGTCATATATCTTATTTATCCTGCAACACTTAAGGAAAATTCAGACTTGGAAAATTCAGACTATCAAAACTTAAATAGTTTGTTAGGTGTAGTCAGTGTTTGATTTCCTGACATTACGTTGAATTGTGTATGAAAACACATGTCAAAATAATGGCTCCACCCAGATATATAGCTCCACACTTCAATGGATATAAAAAGCCATTTTACAAATTTTCATAAATAAACTTGTTTGTTACAGGAAATATGATTTAAACAAGTATCTGTATTTCTTAATGAAATATTTCAGTAATGAAAAAATAATTCTGTTGATTTAATGTACACGCTAAAATACAGCTATTTTCCAGCCTTGCTGAATACAGCAAATATTTATCTGGTAAATGCATTCCAACAATGGCAGTGCTGGTTGCAGGATAAATCTTTATATTTAGTAAACAGTGTAACTTGAATTATATCATTCAAACATATTTCAATGAATTTTTTCCTTTTTTAAAATATGTTGGAGAGCTATACCATACAAGTATGACCACAAAATATGTATTTTTCCCACACTCAACAAAATTGTTTTTAAACAAAGATTATACACGCTTACAAATATCATATCAATTTCCAAATCCTTTCTCTCTTTCATCTTTAGCATAGCGGACACACTTGGCTGGATAATTTTGGATACAGCAGTGACCAGTTTTTATATCACCCCAATGAAAGGTTTGTGTAAGCAGCCTGCATTTAGACAATATCACCATATCTATACATATTGTTGGTTTTATGTCCTTGTCGTAAATTTCAAGGCAAACATACATTCTCTGATCGGTCCAACATTTCAATGATTAAGGGAGGTAATTCGTCTGGCATTTCTAATCTCAGGTGAAGTACTCTTTCTGCTCCTGAAATAAAAATAAAAAATCTCTGATAATTTCATTCTAGAAAGATAATATTAAGGCTGAGAGACCACCTTCACAAAAATGACATGCATCCCCATATGACCATGAAGATTTGGTTTGTGTTGCTTAGTCCTGTAAACACCAAAGGTCTCTTAAGAATGGTAATATGAAGGGACATGAATATCACAATTTTCAGATTCTAGACTTTCTATAAAATCGTTGAAGAAGTGGGAAAAAAACCTTTGTTTAATATTCATTGTCCTCACTTGTATCTGATCACAAATATATATGTTACTTTTGGTTAGTGTTTTCATAATATCTGAGTTAAAATATACAGTAATGTCACAAATATTAAGGATACAGCTGCCTTGTACAAGATTCAGATAGAGATCAAAATTTCTAAAATTTAAACTTTTTGTTGTCGTTTTTCGCCAAAATCTTTGATATTAACCTACAATTAAGCAAACAATGGACAACAGTGCAAAACTTAAATATTATGCTATTTTAAAAAAATTTGAGAGTTTTAAATAATTAAAATTTTGGTGTCAGTGTAACAAGAGTATGTAACACCAAAACTTTACAATAAAATGAAGCACTTCCTTCTTCCTTCCACAACCACTCACATACCTTTAACACTGATGCTGCGAAGATCTGTCACCTTCATCAACATCTTGGCCCATGTTATCGGCTGATCTTTACGCCTTGTCCTGATATAATGTTTCAAGGCCTCAAGAATGGGTTCCTGCATTTCTTCAATTTTTTGTGGATTTTCTAAACCGGATCGATCTAAAAAAATAATGTAAATGATGTTATTGTAAACATAGGTCAAAGGTCAAAATGTAGGTCAGAGTAACCTAGTTTAATAATGTAACACACTTTCTCAATAAGGTGAACCAACACCTCAAGTACTAAGTTCCCATGATAAGTTGTGTAGGAGAAAAAGGAAAAAAATTCCTTTTCTTTGAATTTTTCTTTTATGTAGGTCAAAGGTCAAAATGCACATAGGGTGACCTTCTTTTGATACCTGACACACAGTGTCACTACAGTGAATCTATTTCCCAATACCATGTATTAAATTTCTGTTATTTGCTATATTATTTGAAAATGAGTATAACAGAAAAAATATGATCCCAATTTGTGCCACTGTGAGCTGCTTATCACTGGTTATGGCTGGTAGGAATATCATAGGTCAAAAATTCATATGTCCATTGCAGGATTTTATTGTCCACATCCAAATGTAATGTAAATGAAAAATATACGGTTATAAGTTGAGATGCCTATGGCTGGTATGTCAATCAATTTTCCTTACATGAGATTTAAGCAAAAGTAAGAAATTTGAAACATGGATCTGATTGAGCTTTATTCCAAGATTTCAACCAGAAAAGTATTCAAGAGTTCTCATCACCAATTGACCTGCTGAATGTCAATTTTACAGATAGCATGAATAAGCTGGCAATTATTATCAATTAAAACCTACCTCCACGTATCAAACACACAGCTGATAACCTACCTCCACTTATCAAACACACAGCTGATAACACAGCGAATTCCATGTCATCAATCTCCAACATTTTGAGAGAGGAAGCAAATTTAAATATTGTCTCTGTAAGTGATCCAAAACCTCCATTTTGCAACTGATCACGATCCAAAGTAAGTCCGCCACTAAACATCATAACATCCTGATCAAGGTTATACCGGGAACACAATCGTAATATCTACAAAAAAAAAAAAAGAATCATAAACGCCATGTGAAATAATATTTTCAGTAGCAATACCTCTTTATTCTGATGGAATTTCTAAAATAATTGCTATGCTTGTACAGTACTTGATTACATTGTTAAATACAAATGATTTTCTTAATCTGCTTTATATGAAACTTTGTCATTTTTACTTTAATACAATCATGGGCACCAACTTGAAATGGCTTTTCATTCCAAATTAATATCGCATAATTAATCATATTCACATATTCACTGACAATCTTTAAGACTTGTGTCCCTTTCCCCTGATAGTAATGAACTTTTTATCATCTTTGAGAGTTATTCCCCTTCCTACTCAAACAATAATAAAGTTCTTATTTCAAACAGAATCATTCACTTATTTTTTTTTCTTACCATTATTTCTAAACATGCTGCCTTTAATAACGTGATTTGATCCGATGAGGAAAGGGAGGTAAATCCTGAGATTTTTTTAGCAAATTCTACTATTTTGATAATCCCTTTGGAAGAGAGTTCAGTCACACGTTCCCATAACATCAATTTTACACTTTTCTCTTCATCTTTGTCATCTTGATCTTCCTGATCCTGAAAGGAATTAAAGCACAAAACTTAAAATGCCATAGGAAACACATACAAAATTATATTATCATTACAATAAGCATATGGGGCCAACATACCATACATCAACAATATTATACAAGAAACAAATTTTTGCGAATTCAGCAAAACTTCAAAAAGACAAAATCTGTAAGTTTTCATTTTTTGTTGTAATCACATGAGTAATACATCTATAGAATGTTTGTACCAACATGCACCTGAACACTTTTAAGTCGTAAATCATCCTGTGATAAATAAATACAAGTCAGTATGTACATCTCTTCTCTTGTATGACTGGTCAGTTAGATCTCCAGTAAAAACCTACACCAGTATCTGTATATATAAGCTATGCCCATTCTGAAGTATTTAAAGTCTGCAAAAGAGGCCTTCAGAATTTCTGAGACGATGAAATCACAAAAAATACAATAAACAAAAATGGCAAAAGATACATTTTTTGGATTTTCGCAAAAAATTGCTCTGATCAAAAATATCCCGATATATGGTATATATCTGATTCAAAGTCAGGGGTGAGCTTACTACAGTATAACATGTCTGGTTAGCACATTACCTCAAATGTCAGGAGGCTCAAAATATTAACAAAAAATGAAGAAAATATTTCTTTTTTCATGTACTAAGCAACATTTCATACGGGTTAAATTATAGCCATTCACATATTTATCAATTTATTTATAAAATAAATACTTTATAGAACTATATCTGACAAAGTTCAAGGTGATAAACAACTATTTATAGTTTTAAGGGTTGAATATTTAACTTCATTAAAACTAGCAGCAAGGATTCAGGTGAAAAAAAAGATGGCTTTATGTCTTGTACAGACAAATTCTATACACAGACAGAGAAGTTGGTTACAGTATGAAGTCCTTATTTTGGACTCGGGGTTGATAATGGACTTCATGCAAGATACTATAATGTTATGTCACACTCTACCTTTTCCACTTTAGTCTCCTCAGAACTGCCCAATTCTTTACTCACAGGGGACAAGATTTCCTCTTCAATGTTTGGAAATGTAGAATTGTGAGCATCGAGAATCTCTTGTAAAATACCCATATCATCGTCTGTTACTTCTTCTGTTGAGCAAGCTATGTCCACACCATCACTTTCAGTCTTCATTTTCTTTTTCTTGTTTCTATCATTTCTCACAGCTGTTGGTTAAGGAAAACAAAACATGAATTGTTACATTGTTTTATCACTGGATTGACTATATACAATAAATGACCTTTCTTTAGATTTACACAAGGATTTGCAGTCTTGGAGAATATCAAATTATCCTTTTATTAAAAATCATTCCCTTATTAACCTTAAAAGTTTTATCTTTATAACTAAAATTATGTTTATTTTTAGTCTAGTTCATGATTTTGCTCTGAAAACCTCCTCATGGAAATCCCTGTTACTATTTTTAGTCTAGTTCATGATTTTGCTCTGATAACCTCCTCATGGAAATCCCTGTTACTATTTTTAGTCTAGTTAATGATTTTGCACTGATAACCTCCTCATGGAAATCCCTGTTACTATTTTTAGTCTAGTTCATGATTTTGCACTGATAACATCCTCATGGAAATCCCTGTTACTATTTTTAGTCTAGTTCATCATTTTGCACTGATAACCTCCTCATGGAAATCCCTGTTACTATTTTTAGTCTAGTTCATCATTTTGCATTGATAATTTCCTCATGGAAATCCCTGTTACTATTTTTGGTCTAATTTATCAATTTGCAATGATAAACTCTTGTGCAGGAATATGGTGGTTTCAGGTTTACATTGTATCTTGTTGAAACTTAGGGGAGATCTCTTCATCTATCACAGAGGTGGGACTTTCTCAGTCATGTAACAAAACCGAATGAATACAAGTAGGTAACAACAGCTGATCATTACATTAACCCACTATAATTCCATTAGATAATGATTATCATATAGGATTAAAAATTTCAAAAACATCGAAAAAAAAATCTGTCTGAATTTTGTATAAATTAAATCTAAATACAAACAGATTTTATGATAATGGTTCCCCTCAGAAAACCCATTTTAAGATAACATGGAAGGGGTTGAAAACATCACCTGTAGTTGTTAGTATATTGTCCTTACCTTCTTTGGACATTCCTGAGGCAAAGCACTTTTGTAGGCGGCAGTATTGACAGCGATTCCGAGTCACCTTGTTAATTGGACAGTTTTTATCCTTATGGCAAGTATATTGCATATTTTTTTGTACACTTCGACGGAAAAATCCCTGAAAACATAAGTTTAATGTAATTGTGTGCCTTCCCAGAAACAATATATATAAAGAGGAAACTTTTAATGTCATTTCAACTTGAAAATAGTGAATTTTTTTGCTATTTAGCATTTAATTGGCTATACATATGTAATAACTGAGAATCTTAGAATTTTTATAGGAAACATCTCCTGATCATCATATGACTTTAGATATGGATATAAAGGCATTTGTTTTGCCTGCGTCCATTATTTACTTATTATTATAACATTACAATAAAAGGGGGGATAACTGTTGGTGAGAGCATACCTTACAGCCCTCACAGGAGCTGACACCGTAGTGATACCCTGAGGATTTGTCGCTACAAACGACACATGGTTTATATACTCTGGGAGGCGGGGGCGGAGATGGAGACAAACTTGTAGTAGACATGTTGCTAGGACTCTGCATTTCCCCATACATCCCTGCACCATCAAACATGGCTGAAATTTATAGATTTCCATATTGACCAATCACCTTTGTCAGTTCATATTTTAGCAACCAATCAGATCTATGATTATGAAGGTGTTTTCTCCAATCAGATGCCTCAGGATAGTATTTTGAAATACTTTAAACCTTTAGTGCTTCACATGTGAACTTCGAGGACAATAATTCTTGAGACATAGATCTACAAAGGTCTAACAGTAGAATTCTGAAATAGTGGTGATTCCGTTGGATAAGGTATTCCTTCCCATTAAATTCCCATTGCAGATAAGGCACTGCACAAAACAATGCTATAGTATTAACAATGACATCCATGTGAAGGCTTGTACAGTATTTTTCCATTAAATTCAAATCTATAGTAGGTAAAAAAAAATCATCCTTTTATATAAGAGTGTTTAACCAAAATTTTCTTTCTTAATATAATTTCACCTAAACAATCTTTTCATTAATTTTCATGTTTGACCAATCAGAAGATATATTTATGAGCCAATCATCTCTTGACTTACTTTTGTGAGCTTGTGGGTGGTGTCGAGGTAGATAACCCTGCTTCTGGTTGTATAAGTACTGGTCATAGGTATTGGGCGGTAAGTATCCTCCATGATCCATTCCAGGGTCAAGGCCATATGCGCCATCACTCATAGCACCTGGAAAACATAAAAAGGTCAAAGTCAGATGTAAGACGGTTGAAAACAGTTTGGGATACATTTAAAACCTACATAAAATAAACATTACCAACATGAACCAGCTGGTCAATGTGTCGTTATATCTGTTGTAAAACCTATGTGATTACATCTGTGAGAGGAAGGTGACAATATTGGCGTTATGTTGGTATATCACCTTAGTTGTTAAAAACTCGATGTGTTGACAAACTCACTGTACTGTCATAACATCCGTGAGAGGAAAATGATAATATCTTTATGTTGGTTTATCACCTTAGTTGTTTTAACAACTCGATGTGTTGACAAACTCACTATACTGTCATTACATCCGTGGACACAGAGTGTAATATTGGCATTGAGATGGTACTCACAAAACAAAAATTAAATCCTATCTAAGTTAAAACTGTTTGTGGAAACCCGCTTTAAAGTCTTAGTAGCAGAATTGACATGGTAGCTATTCCCCACTTATAATAGCTATTCTTCCCGAGATCATGCATTGAATATGATAGATAAAAGCTGGTGTAACATTGAAATGTTTTCTGTAATCTACATAAAGATTGTAGGGAAGTAAAATAAATAAAGTTATTTACATAGGTAGGTAACTATAACTACCATGCTGTCTTGGAGTAGATGTTCAAAAATAACCTTGACTCTGCAACATCTATACAACAAAGAAATGCTTCACTCATGATAAGTTTGTGACCGATTTTAATGTGTTGTGTTACATAGATATAGCAGGACAGTGTTATATAATTCTCAGGTACACACCATCCAATCTAGCTTCACTATAGATTAAAAACAAAACCTGGTGTATCAGATAAAGTACACCAGTGTCAAGCCTACTGAAGTGTCACAATCAACATTCAGATTTCAGATTTTAAACATCACAACTGCTATACTCTTTTCAATGTCTCATCTTCCTTTCTGAGGAAGTAAGACAAATAATTTCTGAAGAGTTAATGACATGGTGACGATTTAATTTTAATTTGACATTTACAATACTACACTGTATCTACATTACCAAACAAACTGAAGACATTTAAAAAGTTTGTGACTATTCTGATTCTGTGAAATCGTAATTTTTATCAGGTCAATGGTCATGTGTTACGCCTCGACAAAATGGCCATTTCAAAATACATTATGGTCAGTAACCGATGACCAGGCAATACTTTTTTTCTCTCTTCATTCTGCCAATTTTTAAAATTTTCATCCACAAATAAGCTGTACCAGCATACAACTGTTTGCCCGCCTGCCCGCCAAGGAAAAAAAGCTATGGCTTATAATATGGAAAATATGGTATATTGTTCATCCAGGCGCTTGAATTTCGTGGATTTTCAAAATATCCATTTTTGGTGGCACTTGATTTCATGGGAAAATCTTGATAAAAAAAATCCACTAGTATTATAATCCACAACATCTTTTATCTCTTTATCATTTTATGGACATATAAATTCGTGGATTTAGCTTATCCATGAAGTCAATGACCACAGTCCAATGATTATACAGTATTTTGTATTCATCCTGTAGGTATATGTCTATATTTGACATGCAAAGTTGGTACCTTCAGTTTATCACTGTTTGTCAAACTGCTAGAAACAGAGTCAATATTTAGTAACTAAGAGTGCAGATTCTGTTTTAAATTTGTAACATATGGTTCACTTATGTATTTTTGAAACAATAGGTTTGCAGGTTCAAATCATACTTTAATTTAATTAACTCTTATCAAGAAATATTTTAATTTTCTAATACAAGATGACAATTGACAATTGTTTGACTACAGCATTTTTAATGATTTACTTCAAGATCAGAAACATCAAATAAATAGTATATATATATAATTGTTGTTTCCAATCTGAAAATTAAATCATTTAATATTATCATTTTAAAATTTATTTTGCCATAATGCGGATATGATATTTCTCAATGGAATATTGTTCTAGTTTATAGATCATCATTATCAGTATAAAAAAATAGCTTGTTGATAACAGTATCACTGGTATGTACATGTCTATACATATCTGATTTTAAACATCCGGATGAATTTTGTCATTGACTGAATTCTCATTAATCAGATAAAAATGTTGTTATCAACAACAAGACACAAACAGATGTTACTGTACAGTATTCCCTCTTTATACTGCCACTTTCTGTCCTGTGCCACAGTTTTTGAGGTATAATAGGGGTGTTAGTAAGACACCATATACACCATGTCATTTATGTACAACACTGAACACCTAAACAGATAATCATTAGCAAGCCATTGGTGTTCAGGCAGTTCGAGCACATTTTAAAATCTACTTTCCAGGATACTGACATGTACAATACATATGATCGGAGCCAGACTTGATCAGGACCATAATACATAAATATAAAATTATGAAAAATCATGTCCCATAACTTAGTATATAAAGCATATCTTAAACGAATTCCATTCATTTGTATATGATATACCTGTCCATCGCACCTACTCATGACTGGAAATGGTGGAAATCAAAAAAGGGGTGGGGGTGTTGGGGAGTTTGGGGGAGGGTTTGTTACACCTGCATGTATATATATACATATATTTCTTTATCAATTAAATACATAAATTGATACATACCATCACATTGAGGCTCATTAGTTGAGCCTAAGGGAGCAGAGGAATAATTCATTGAAAAAGTTTACCTTGGATTTGTCTTAAACCTGTATTTACGATATTCCCATAAAACATGTGAATGAGCTTTAAGGACACTCCCAGAAAAGATGTTTAATAGATTCGCTATCTGCTGTACAAAATATACAAAATCTTCAACAACCTAGTGTAAGTAACATGTCAGTGGAGCACTTTAAAATCAAAACTTTTTACAGCCGAATCATCAGTTAACCAAAATGATGTTCCAAATATTTGTTTCCAATCATCTTCATTCTATGATGTGTCTTTTCATTCCATTTCTCTGTTGTTTTTATAAGAAAAAATGAGGACAAAGCCAAAATTGGCCATGTTGTGGGATAAGTGCAATGTTATTTGGTATTTATAAGACAGTTAAGGGCGTTTCATTTGTTGAGTATGTAGAATATTTGTTATAAGAGATAAAGTTTGGTTGTATTTCATTAACTGGTGCAGAAGAAAGGCATTTGAAGAAAGAAGTTGCAGCCATTTTTGATTCGGAGATGTTAAAAAAACAGACAATAGACATCTAGGGGCCCAAGGTGATTTATATGTGGAATTTCGGAAAGATTCTTGTAGTAGTTTCTAAGAAACTGTGATAACAAGAAAGGCTTCAGAAAAAGTTTCCAAAGCCCGGAAATTCCAGAAAAATGCCCGCAATGAATCCATAATAAAAGGTGCACATCTTCAACATATATATAAACATCCTACATCCTCTTTTCCCTGCCAAACTGCGGAAAATGACTAAGTTCCAAAACCTGGAAAATCCAGAAAAATGTCCGGAATGAATCCATAACAGGAAGTGTACATCTTAAACATATATATAAACATCCTTCAAAGTTTCAAGATCAAAAACTCTAGGAGGAGTTCATTCTACAAAACTGGTACCCCTTTTTCCCCCGCCCGTCCGCCCGCCTGACATTCACCATACTATAACCCGGATTTGCACTATGTGCAACCCAGCCAAAAATCTATATATTTACTAATCAAGAGGTTATAAGTACATTTGAACACTTTTTCTTTAATATTAAACAGTCTAGCAGATTTGTTCTCTATCTCTGTAAGTTTTCTGCCATGTACAATGATGGCCTGCTACCATAATTTTGGGAGGAATGACCGGTAAATAGCCTAAGTACGACACAAAGTTAACATTTAGATATAACTTCTGACTAAAAGCTTGGAAATATAGAACTTCTCCAGACTCCTTAAAAAGTCATTAAGATAAAACACATTGCCCTGAATCCACTAGTAATACATACTGTGTTTAACAGTTTTTTTTTCTTTATCAAGATTTCTTCATTCAACCAGGGGTTGAGACAATAAAGCCTACAGGAATACACAATGTATATGTCCCTGATGCCCATATTTGGATAACATTACACAAAAATGAGTTAAATTTCATCCATTCTTTACTGTTTATATTCTATAATTTATCATCTTGAAATTTTTCCATTCTTGTTAATAGCTTGAGGGATTTGCCAGAATCAACAGTCTCTCTATACATGGTATTATGTTTTTAGATTGACAGTATGATTTCTAGTCTAGCACTCTAAGTCCTCCGTTATCATAACATTTTTATTGATTTTATTACTTTTCCTGACCACAAGAAATTAAAAATAATTTCTTTAAGATCTTTGAAATACAAATTCCTAAAGTCTGAAAGTGTTGAAAAAGAGATGATTGAACACTGAAAATGCTAGCTGGGTTTATATTGCACCAACTTTACCTAAATAACTCAAAAGTTCCATAAATACCAATCCTCTTGTGATTTTTTAATTATTATGTTTTAAGTTTTAATTTTATCATTTTTTTTTTACAAAACTGTGTTAAGTTACATTTCCTTCACTAAGGTAGTAGTACACAGTTTCTCCGTGTGGCCATGGGTGATATTTTTGTTCATCAGAATATCCCATTATAATGGTTTCAATCAGAATCTAAAAAATAATTCCATGTTAAAACTGCTCTTGTCATGTTCAAGTGGATGATGTGGGGTTTCATTTTGTTCCGAATAATATTTTCGCTTTGTGTTGGAAATTACTATTTGGGCAGCCTCAAATCTGTGTCTATGCACCAAAAACTAGCTCTACAGGTAAAAGAAATTGTCATAGTGTTTACATGTGGTCATGTTGTGAAGGATTTCCAAGTTAGAATTAGCTGAAATGTAAGTATGTTGTTACCATGACAGTGTTGTAGATTTTAAGACAGGTGTTCAGAAAGAAATTTCTTCTATAAAATTGCAATGTTAGGTTGGAATTAGCAGTATTTTTGCATTTTTTCAGTTGGTAACCAAGGCAATCGTAAGTCAGAAATCAGAGTAAATTTTTCATTTACACATGTT